TATCAGGCGTATTTTCGGAAGGGAAATACCAGTCCTCTTTAAATGAAGCACAAACCGCATCAGAGTGCTTTTGGTCACTGCTCGCCGCAGCAATCCATAGGGAACGACTGCCACGAATTTGCACGATCCGCGGTCTTCCAATCGAGGTCTCGATGAGCGACAGTGCTACTCAATCACCAGATTGCCGCATGGAGAAAATTTCCATTGGTCGGTACAATGGAGACTGAACGGTGTATAGTTATCATGATGTTGGGGAAAAACGTGCGTTAACCTCCTACCGCCGAGGCAGGACTTTCTGTTGGTCTTCCCGAGCTTCACGCTCCACCAGAGACAAATCAAGGTTTGAATCGCTCCTCGCTCGGATATCCCCCGAACGACCGCGAGCCACGTATAATTTCCCACACTTAATTTCCTCCCGAGCCCAATGTCGCGAAAATAGTTGTCATTCCAAACCGAGGTCTAGGTCTGTACGCCTATCATCTTCTGCTAAGGGGCGGTTGCTTGCAGATTTTCAATCCTGAGGATATTCGATGCGTGGCCACCATGCAGTGGGTACTTCCAATGCCTGAGTCCCACGAAGGGTGCGAGCTCCTGAAAGACTCGGCTCGGAAAATCCATGTGAGGCTGAACGCGAATCTACAGCTGCTGTGTGCGCAGTATCCGAGCCTTTCCGAGACTTTTCAATGATCAGGAATCATGACTCTGGGAGACCGAAAACACGTTCGTCTGACCATCGATCTATTCCGACCACTCCAGTGCTCCCCTCAATATATGCGTCCGGCGGTGTATTGCCGCGATCGAATGAGCTCGATGATGGGGAGCTATCGCTTCCGAAGGGCGACAGCATGATAATGGGAATCAGGGGGCGGTTTGATGCCGGACCGACTTCTGGCGACAGCTGGATTCGCTGCTGGCTCAAGAGTGACCCAGAACTGGAGCCAAGACTCTATCGTGACCGGCTCCACGATGAAACTGACTGAAAAAGAAAGACAGGCGTCTCCGGCGCTCTGCGCGCAATCGGCGAAAGTAAGTCGTCGCCGACGAACCGTTCTACCAGCTCCCTCTGGAAACGGACTTCTGTTCCTGGAAACTAGGACAGACTATGTACCTCGTCTACGGACTGGGGCCGGAGTCAGATAAACAATGACATCAAAGCGGAATAAACTGGAAGAACACCATCAGAAGGAGGGACATGGAAGAAAAGACGTCTCTTTTGTTTTGGGTCAAGCGGGGAGACATTCCCGCGGAGGAGTTATTCTGACCCGACTGGACGGCAAAACTCGATTCCGATGTCGTCTACGGAACGTGATGGCGGTTCCGCCGAGCTGACAAAGAGCGAAGCGCACAGGAGCAACCCCTCTTGTTGCTCTCCCGAGTGTCGATTAAATGCCCGCTGAGGGAAGCGCGGATTATAAACATGGGAGCGAAATTCGGGGGCCGAGCTTGCCGCGAGAGTTTTCTGACGATAAACGGCCGTGGGGAGGAAGGAATTCCGAAAAATCTTCCTGTTCTTATCGATTGGATCCTCGCCCAGGTCATCGAGCATAAGTGAATGCCTGATCCGCAGGAGTTCGAATTTGGTTGATTTGGATGTTGACAGCGATCTCCGGAGGGGACAGATCGGGCAGCAGGGCTTCGGGTATTAGCTCCATGGTCAATGGATCGCGTAAGCTCGCGTGGGCGGCCAAGAACCATGGCGATAGGTCGGACTCCTACCTACCTTGAGTAGAATGTTATGTGACGGAGATGGGCAGCGAACTACGTGGTCCTGGATAATTTAGAGACCCCGACACTCTTTTGTCTCCATCAGGCTGTTTCCCAACCATTACGAAACCCGGACTCGGTCCCCGACTTCGGAAAATACGGGCCTCGACGGCTTCCCGACAGAGGCCTTCGCAGCGATGTTACACGAGCTGAAATGATCCACTCCTACATTCTGCCACGCATTTCTGACTCGTGTCGGAGCTATTATGATCATCGAGTCATATCTTAGCTCCGGAATGATCGGTGCTCCGACAACTAGTCTGGATCACTCGACGCTACCCCGTTGAACGCTTCCCGGCCGTTCGATGTCGAAAGGCATCGGCTGAGAGAGGCGATGAGGTGAAGAACACCTACCTATCGAGAAAAAAATGTCCGATAGACACAAAGAGCGATGACTCCGTTCGGAATAACTGAATGCTCCATTGTTAGACTGTTTATCTGAGGTCAGGAGATTCTTAAGCTTTTAACGAACGAACGGACGAGCCGACCAAGCGGGGGCCGCCTTACTGGAAGCCGGCGTGTGATCGGCTAAGAATAAGCGTCTTTTTTTACTTTTTCCAATTTCAGGCAATGAGCGATTGATTACCTCCTACGTCCTACGCAGTGTGTGAGCTATTTCCATCATTGACAACATGTGGAAACTCGTACTTCGATTCAGGAAAAAAATTTCGACGGTATCCACCGATGGAGATGGCTCGCCTAATCGATGTCTTTAGTAGGGCATCGGCTCCGACGAGCAGATGGAGTGATGGACGCGCGAAAAAAACCCCGTTACATAGACATGGAGCATAGCGGCATCCGTCAGAATAACTGTGCATTTCAATATTCTACTGTTGTTTTTCGGTCGGGACATTCTCGGGGAGTTGATGCACAAATGAACGGAACCTTCCAAACGTCAATACGACTCCGCTGCTCTTGAGGGGGAACTGAAAGCGCGTGTGACGAGCTAAGAATAACGTTTTTTTCCTCTGCGTCTAATTTCAGGCATCAAACGATGTCCACACTGCAGTGTCCCGATCGAGCGAGAAGATGGTTGCGCTCAGATGCTTTGCAAAAACTATCGACACGTATTCTGCTGGCTCTGTTTGGTGTCGTTGGATGACGACTTCCTACTGCGACACTGCGATCAGGGACCTTGTAGAAACAAATCAGGTCATTCGAGGGCATCGGTCATGTGCCATCGGACGCAGGTTCTTAAAAAATTCGGCGGCTTAGATTTCCTAGTCCTCTTGGCCTCCCCATTCCTGATTTTGGCTCTTCCGTGCACACTCGGGGGCAAGGGCGACTGCATCGGTCCAGACCCCCGATTGAGGGCATGGGTCCTGATTTTCAGTCGTGATCGGGGGAAATGGAGAGAAAGAATTCTCCGGTCCGGCACGTATCCGGACGACGCGACGGAAGTTTGCGCCTACTGTCATCAGAATAGCCTACCGCTGTTCTCTGTAGCCCTTATTTTCGCGAGAGTGAGTGGAGAGTCGAGGAAATGAATTTTCTCGCTGGGGTGGGCGAACCGTCTAACATTTGACCGTAGTGCTACGCAGACTAGGACTCGAGTGGCGAAGTCGAATCGATTTTGACGAACCTCGTCAGATGGCTATCTACAGAACATCGGAAAATATCTAGACTCCGGCTCCGTAAACAATGAGCCTGCTCCGTAAACAAGCCTCCGCTAGGTGCATCGGAGGCGGGATTGCCTCGAACCTCGCCTTCGATAAGTATTCCCGAGACACTCAGTCAGAGAACCCTTTCCGCTCATCTTGAAAAGGCACATACTCAGAATACGAGTAATGTGAATATCCCTTATCACCCAATCCGTTCGGATATCGATTGATCGATCGAATCATTCCTACATCCATCTTCCACGATGAGTACCAGCGACATGTTGAGTTCAACGAACGCATCAACTGCAGCTTGATGATAAAGACCAAGATTTATTTCTGCAAGCTTGGCATATTCTCGCCGAATTCGCATGAGTTCGCCTTAAATATCTGATTTTCGAAAGGTTCGGCCACCGATACAGATGGAAGAAAACCTCAGCTAACCGCGAAATAGATTAGCTCCAATTAGGCAGCTATGGGATCCCTGCAGTTGTTCACAGAGAAATCACGTGGGTCACACGTCCTGGTGTGTCGTTTCCGCTGCTGCTCGAATCTAGAGACGACTATTGCTAAGGGCCCACGGGGAACAATAGGCTCCGTAACACTTCGTAGAACAGCGAAAAATCGAAAGTCGTTCCGCTGCTCTCATCGGGGCGCCGGATCATCCGAAGAGCGGATTTCTTTGGAAGAGTAGATTCGTCGCCTGACGTAAGAAAGATTGTATAACTTCGCGCGAAGCGTAATGATAGCGACCCCGTCTCACAACTGCTGAGCTCCTCGTCTAACGACAAGAAGACAATGAGACCTGGCGAGAGAGCACGTTCAATAATTGGGAACTTCGCTTCTTGTTTCGTCGTCGGGGCTAGTCTATAGGATCCATTCACCCTATTCGCTCCCAAAGAGCCCCCCTCGCCTTCCTACTCTCTCTATATCTGTCTCTGAAATTCTAAAATATGGGAAATCTCCAATGAAGAAAAAAAGATCATGAAAACGTTTTTCTGTCAGGAGGCTGCACGGAAAGCAGACGAATAATAACCTACTCGGAAAGTTTCCTCGTTCAGCCACTCCCGAGTCGCGTGGATCGGATTGGTAGCCCTCGGCGTTCCCGCCCGGGGACGATATCACCTTTCAGTCCGAACTCTTCCACCACCGACTCCTCGACAAGATATCTGTTCCGCCTGAGTGAGATGAGTGGCGGGCCGACACTCTCGGATCGGCCAGAAATCATCGGAGCGATCCCGCAAATGGGACATCGCACAGATTCCCTTCGCAGACGTTCCCGAGTCGTATACGCTTTCCTCGGATGCCGGCTCTTCCACATAGGTACAAACATTCAAGCGACTATCAGATCTGATGATCATGATCTTGCACAACTTTCAAAGGCCGAACGACTCTTACAGAAAGATGACCGAACAAAGACTTTCTATTCAGAGCTGCTCGATCCAGGGCCTGCAAGGTCAGGATAACGACAACAATAATATCGGTTAGACTCATCGTGGATCTTCGGCTGCAGCTCCTGATCATCGGCAAATCACAGAGTGACTTCTCCGACTATCCGACTAATGTTTTGATTCCCGAAACTGGCGATTTCGAACCCGCGTAACTCACTAGATTGCTCTAGTATCGAAAAGAAATCCCTCATCGCTTACCGCAACTTGAGCTCGGCTCGCTGTGCGTTGAGAAATCCAGGTGAGCGACGTGGGACAGTCTGCGGGCGTACTGCTTGAAGCTGTCGATGTGGAGGAAGTTCTTCATATGGAAATGATGGGTCAATTCCGAGATCGGCGAAGCGTGCGTGAATCCGGAGACGCTAGTGTTCAGCGGACCTCCTTCCAGATCGAGTTCCAGAGCGCTCGCTCGTCGGAAGACTTCGATTTTACGCCTGCAGGGAAAGAGACTGTAGGTGCATCTGAGCTCGTAGATAAGGCGCGCGCATGCGTCTATTAGGCTCTATATGTACTCACTTAGCCAAGTCGTCGTCATCAGTGGCACAGAAAGTATAGGGTATTATGACGACAGCTGCAAGTGCGAATACCGCGAATATACTGATCACCCATATGGGGTAGTATTCCAGGGCATCTGCGGAACGAGAAGGCGGGGAAGGGAATCATCCACCGTGAATTCTGCGCGGGTGCAAATCTTGCCGCTTAACGGGGTGTCTGAGGAGACCCTAAGGACTTCGACGGCCGCTTTGCCGACCTATGTGGTTCGCATCGAGAATTCTAAGACAGCGGTGCAGATGACCTAGCTCCGGAATGTCGGAAAAGCTTGAACACTTCCATGGAGAAATTACCCCGAGGGTCGATCTTAGTCCCTACGAGTTGAACTAGCCCGCTGATAATTAAGGAGCTTCTCACCGACAACACAGTCTGGTCCACGATTCAAACACTCGATTTCTTTTGCTTGGCTGCGCAGGGCCTCGATTTCCTCCATTCTAGTTCTGATTTCGGAAGAGCCCGATGCTCTCTGAGATTTAAGTCTGTCAGAGTCGGGACCCCGTGTGCTCGTGACGGTCCATCTTGTCAGAGAGCGATCGGGATACAGTGGGCTTCGCAGAATGCGTTCCGATCTGGACGAGCCTCCCCGAAAGCAGCTTAACCATTACACGTAGGATCGAATTCCGATAACATTCGGAACCGTCATCGACCACATGTCGAGATCGACGGTAATTCTGAAATTCAGGCACCTCATAACGACTGGGAGGAATTATGGGGGAGCTCCAACAATAAGAGAAGACTTGCGAGACTCAAACCGCTGGGCTTCGATCACTTTAGTTGGACAGCGCAGCCCACCCGATGAATCATTGGATCATTAATAGAATCTGAAGACTAAATCTTTTTTTCTGGGTGATTGAAAATTTTTCTACGAAAAGATCCGATCGGAATTACGATAGCGATGTTGACCGCATAGAGTCCTTGTGTCCATGGCAAGGACACAGGGGCAAAACCTTCTCACTAAGCGGCTAACGATAAGACGACAACAACGTCTTGACAGACGACGTGCTCTCCTTTTATCGAAGCGCGGAAATTCATATCGTGACATGAGCTGTCGTTCTGTCCAATGCTCAAGTTTTCTCGTTGTTTCTGTCAGTCAAAATTCGAGGAAAAAGTTGAAGTGTCCTTGAAGGTACGTCTCAGACGTAACTCCTTCGTTGGTCGTTTCCGATAAAGACCATCTGTCAACTTCGTCCGGAGGCAATTCGTGGGTGGTCCCTTCCGGTGAGCGCGTCACTCAAAAATATATTTGGAGGCTCCCGTGCCCTCGGTGGAGATTGGAGCGGTTTCCGAATCATTCCATCACCCGAGGCAGGTTCCTGTCGGTTGTGAATTATTCCCAAAGTTAGTACGAAGAAGCGAGCATTGGAAGTATCCCAACGACCTAGAGTTCGTCGAATTGAATCTCGACTCCGCGTATCGTGAGTGGTGACACCGGCACCGTAACGACGTTCGTTTCCAGCTGTGCAGTGAACATCGTATCCCGCTATTTTTACGCACCACTGTGTGGCGGATCCGGGGGGCCTGCTCGGTCGTCCGGAAGCGTTTCATTGCAGCTCGCTTGACTGGCTTCCGGATCGGAGCAACTTTCTCTCCTGTTTCACCTACATTGCTCACTTCAAGGAGTCGGGCGGCCCGACTTCTGGAACTTGGCTGACCCATTTACGACAGTAAACTGATGCGAGTAGACTGAATGACTCAGATAGACATTCGCTCATTTGTTCGCCCACCTGGCCTTCTTTCGCGTGAACCATGCCGTGAGCATGCCGATTTCCAGTAAGTCGGATATGACGATTCCATAGTGAGAAGACCGTCGTCGGAACAATCTGACGCTAATCTTCCCGAGAATTACTTCGCATCATCAGAATCCGAGTCATAGTTTGCAATAAAGACATTGAGAAAGTCGCCGGGCGCTTTTAAACCCTCGCAAATAGTCCAGAGCTCGGGTAACTGGGACTAGCCTGGGATTCGGAACTACCTAATTGATGGCTCTAGTGAGTTCCATCGATAAGACGATCGAAAATTTCTCGGCGGATTCTCTCTACGACGGGAATGGTGATGACGTCGCTGAGCTGAATCTGATTTCGGAATCTTTCGACGAAACGGAATGAGGGGCTATCGATCAAAGATTCAACGGGAGTTGATGAGAGTCGATTGAGGCGGTTCCCCGCCGGGCTCTTCCTCGCTAGAAAGCTGTGCGCCAATGAAGTCCCTGTTTCAAACTCGGCTCGCACAGATCGTATGTGTCGGAGCAGCGAGTGGTGAGACATTCCCCCCTCTCCTACCATCCCGAGTAAATTGACGGAACAAGTCCTTAGGAGTTTATCTTTCCTCGACTTCACATTTACATCGACATTCTCAAGTACATATATTCCAGCGCGATAGAGTTCGCGAGAATTCGATCAGGACTCAAGTCGATGATGAGGAGGGACGGACGAGCGAAGCTTGAGCAAGGCTTCAGCGCTATCGGTGGGATGAAGGGCAGGTCATTCGGAATGTTCGAATATGACGGACTATATTCATGATTCCATGAAATCTGAAGCGAAGTAGGCGTTCTCGAGGGACCGCAGATTCGTGGTCCAAGGAATGAACGATTGAGGGGCTGACATCCAGAAATAGCAATTTGATTGAGGCGGATCAGTTCCTCGCTGAAGTTCCGCGCTGCCTTGATGCCAAACGCTTTCCCATGGTGCACGGGAAGGCATCCAGTATCGCTGTCCATAGAGCTCGGGGCGACTGCGACGTCCTAAAGTTTTCTGTGTGTAGCCCATAATTCAAGAGTTCACTATTCGGAAATTACAAGTCAAGGTCGGCCCCATATGCTTCCAGCCGCTGTGATTAAGATCACTAAAGATTCTTTGAGTCACGCATGAGTCGTGGCTCATAGTGTTCGCATGCTGTCGGCGGAATTCAGTGCAGATGATAAGTCCTCCCGAAGTGCGTTCTCTCAGAGGACGCGTCGCGGTGAGGAAGATCTTCGTACCCAGGGTCCGGAGTCACGATCCGATTGGCCTATATATTGATCCGTCTCAGAAGGCTCTCATCGGAATCTTGTTGAACTCAACGCAGGGAAAACAAAGGACTTTTGCAATCTCAAGAGCGGAAATGCGGACGTCAGCTAATGACTGCTGTAAAACGACAGATGGTCAACGGCCACAGACACAGACTGTTTGGTGACACGATTCGCTCAAGGCTTCCGACCCGATGACGTTTCCCTTCTGGCCCGTCGGTTGTATCATTGGATAATATGATCCTGCGAGTATTTACGCGGGCTTCACCTCTATGAGGCTCTTGGGTCTCCTAATCTCGAATCGACCTACGGGGTGGCGATGGCAGCCTTCACTGGACGGGGGCGTCGGGAGGCTACCGCCTCGATTGCCACGCGGGCGCCGACCTCGCCTTTCGGTGAGTCGCGCCTGAGGATAAGTTGAGAACTGCTCCCTCGAAGAGCGCCGTTCCGGAAGATCGCGCTCAGAGCACAAAAGTTTGAGGCGAGTTTCCAGAGAGGGCCGGCACCCCAGAAACTTGCCTCGGCATACGGTTCCGCCACGCAGCTCGACGGAGAACCCACATACGTTTCGCTGGAGAAGCTCACCGGACGTCAGATGCTACTCCATTCTGCGAAGAACCGGACATACTGGTCGACCGTGAAGAGATCGTATGCCGATCATAAGCTGTTTCGATAAACTAGATCAGTCCACGGTAAGCCACGTTCTTGATTGAGCCCATATGATCCTCGGGGTCAGTGGAACTTCGTCTCCCCTCCGCCTGTCGGAAAGTCCGTTACTCCCTATCCGGAATACGACAGAAGCTCGACTCAGCTCGCTTCTGATCCTCGACAGAGGATAATATGTACGGTCGAAAAGCCACCTCCTAGGTAGATTCTCAGTTTCCCTCATTCACCTCGATTTAGAGTTGATATGTGAAGTACCGGCTGACGCGCGCGGCCGAAACTCATATTCACCCTTACGGGCCACTCTTCATGGCCACTCTTCCGTTCCGCCGGGACATTGAGCCGTGGAGCGGAAGACAAGGCTAGCCCGTCCACGGGGCAGCTCGATCCGCCTTCGAAGTTCAGGATTCTACGCCTTTCGCGACGAGAAGATCGCTCCCGGTGAAACGGGTCGGATGGATTTATCCGGCGATTTTCTGGCATCCGGGCGCAGGAACAAATTCAGAATGTCGTCCTGAGTTTCTGTATATAGTGGCGCTATTGGAAGGCACCGAAAAAGCTGTAAACCCAAAGAGCGCAAGGTTCGAATGCCAAACGCCGGAAAACATGGGAAGGCTCCCCGAATTCTGTTTTACGATTACTTCCAGGCTCGTCTGGACCTACTCGCGTTTTCGGAACGAGATTCTCTTGCTGGGAAAGAGATAATTTTGTATTCGGGAGGGCTCCTACACGTGAGGCTCGGATTGTGCCGCGCTTCACCAAGACTCTCATTATCACGACGCTACGCAAAGCAAACGCGATGGACGATGCGACGAGGCTAGAAGCCATTCCGCTCACAGCTCGCCGTCTTCCACTAGTGCCCACCGTCCAAATGGATTTCTCTTGGATAAACATCATGACCGAAGGGCGGCCGCGATCGCACCTCGAGCCTCTCCACCTGTCTCGCCTTTTCAAGAATTGTCTTTCCGTTTCCTGATCGTCCATAGGAAACCGGAAGGTTCGAGAGCGTGCTGGTGCGTCCATTTGCTGAGAAATGGTGTGTTACTTCCGAGCGGGATCGTATCAAGCGGCGCCGATGAGCCGCTGCATTCCATCAGTTAGAGCACTAGCACTGGCTCACGATGAAAAATACATTCAATTCAAGCTCGCTAATTTGACAGGCGTCGGAAAGAGATTAAATTCAAGGGTTGCCAAGCGCAAGCTAGTCGTCAAGCAAGACCCGAGCCGATTATCCATCTTGACCGGTGCCTCGCTGAAGTTTCATTCGGTGCAGTCGGTCTGAGCGAAGCAGGTGTACCCTTCAATGTATCTAGGTGAGAGTCCCATTCCAAAGGTTGCGACCCCTCGTCTCGATAACGCGGGGGTCTTGAATCGCTATCCTGTCGGTGGACACATGAGGGGGGTTGACCTCGCAAGTCGCGTCCAAAATCCAAGGCTCGATACTGTAACGATTCCACCTGATAACCAACATTCCTAACTACATAGACAACCGACCGCGACGAAAGAGAGAGGGGGTGAGTTTCAGCATCAAAATATTCTGTCGGAGATAAAAGTTGATTGGATATTTCGAATTGCACTGAGTTCTTCTGTCGACCTCACCAGCAGTGCAAGGTCCGACGCCGGCCATCGGCACAATCGAATATTGTTGAGATTTTCCATCTCACGAGGATCTCCGCTCTCTCCTCCATCGTTGACGATATTTCTGACAGTGCGTGGTGACAAATCGATCGAATGTGTGCGTGAAGCGGCAATCCGAGATCCGTCAGCGGTTGACGTGACAATGATGAGCAGCACTGACTCGACGCACAAGAGGGACCTCGCTCTGATTTCCAAAGGACTGGAGGCGGGATTCAACGGAGGGCTGACCCCAAACGCATAAGCTCGAGCGGTACCGTCGTCGCTTCGATTTCCGGGGCATCGAGGAACTCGAGCCTCGAGCCCCTTCATCCCGCTGAGCGGAAGACGAACCTTTCGATGTCCTATCCGAACGTCCTATCCAAGAATGTATTTTTAAGATAAAGCTAGATAGACTGGCTTGATAATGTCTTCGTTTCTCAGCGCCACGGATTTGTTTCGGCGCAACGGATTCATTTAGCAATATCAGTTGGAAGCATTCGCATCGTTCACACGTTCCACGCGTCCTGAACGTTGCCACGCTCGGAGAATTCTCTTAACTATTTCCCGAATGTATTTCATTGCCGGAAGCGGGGCACTCATTCTATTCTTCCCATGTCGATAACGGACTTCTTGCCTGGATCCCATACCCCATCGGAGCAGCCGCGGTTCCCCTCGCATGTGGGGGTCCGCTAAGGCGCATTCCGTCGGTTCGACGTCGACCGTCTGTACGATGCGATGCGCGTCCGAAATCGTACCGAAACTCAGAAATGACGGCGACGCGGCGCGGGGTAATGTTTCGATCCTTTCCTACTCTCTGCAATTACTCGCCGCGGGATCCGAAATCTGGAATAATTGTTGTGCTCCCCATTGTCCTCCGAATGGTGCGTCTCAGTCCTCAGCTCCGCAGTCGGAAGGCTTGTCTGCGCCTAAAGCGCTTGGCATCTGTTCTGGGGCAGCTTGCTCGCCTTATGTTTGGACCTTGCAGTTCATAGCTATACTCGAGGTGGCGCAAAGTTATTCATTCCAAACTCCACAGGAATGATATGGCGTGAGTTCTGGTCGATTGTCGAAGTCATTGATCGCTGTCTTCCTATTCCAGAGCAGTTGAAAGCGACCGACGCTCAATACCGTTGACTTCGAATGAGAACGCACGCGAGCACTCATCCCGAAAAGAGACACGCCTGTCATCCTTGTTCACTTTGGGCGCCCGCCGCGAATCGGAAAAACGCTGTGACACAGTGATTTTCATTGGATTGTAGCCGGATGAATTTCAATTATTTCGGATGCATGTCGGCGAAACTTCAAACCCTATTCCGCCGATAGGACCATCTATGACACATAGATGACTACATCCACATAGAGGGAGCTTCGTCGTACTATGTTTCCGACCCCCGCCCTGTGAGAGTGTCTGACTACAGCCTACCAAATCGCCGGAAACCATACCCATGGGCACTCTAAGATTTCCGAACCCCACAGAGCAGGGGTCTCGAATCGGAGTTTTTGAACTCCACTCAGCTTTCCGTGCATCAGAAATCGGAAGTGAGTACTTACCTGACCCCGATCATTGAATCTTCTCTTTCGGCTCTGGAGGAGACAGCTCGCGGAGATTCGTCCGAATAAATGTGTTGACCGCCGCACAGAGTATACTTGATGTCATCGGCTCGTATGCCTCTGAGCCATGCGAAAGAAGATGAAGACGGCCGCGGTGTAGAGAGCGGTCGGACGATATCTTTCCCGTCTCGAGTCGTGAGGGAGGGGGTATCCAATCCCCGTGGAACAATGTGAGGACAGATTCCGCCGACGTGGAATTAGTTTTGCGGTCCCAGAGGAGGAGCATCCCTATCTGTGAAAAGGGTGATTCCAACTATTCGAGAGGGATGAAGCGGGCGCTCACAACTTGAACGGACGCTCGCATACGATCTTCTCGGGGAGCGTTCGAGGCGGGAATCAAGCGGCCACTCCTTCAGTTTGGGGATCGGAAAGTATGATTCCTCTGGCTTCGCTCCCGCTCGCTCGACTGCGATATTAGCGGGCGAAGTATGGACGACGCTGCTTCCCACCTCATCAGACTCCAAAAACCTGTCATGCTCCTAGTCGACTTGCCATGCTACTAGGGTACTCAGAGTCAGTCGGAGTCGGTCGTCCCGTGCGGCGGCTCCGAGGGGTGATTTTCGATCATGCGATTATCACGGTCGATCGGCATAAGAACACGAACGTCTCTGTCTGCACTACCTCAGAAAGACATCAGATGGCCTAATTAGTAATAGGTGGAGTCTTTCCATGCAATCCTCCTAGGAGACTCGACTACATCTAGTGATGCACCGCCCTGGAATTGACGTCTCCTTGGAAAGAATAGCTCTGCCACTCCTGACTGAAGACCGTTCATGTAGCAATTGGAGGAGGGCACGAACGTGGAGAAGCCTCCCGCGTCAAATTTATTCCATGATCTGGGAAATCGGACCGTCATGTCTTCTCTGCTCTCCGATTCGGGGGTCATCGATTCCTCGTCTTTCCCCTCCGCGCTCATTCTCATGTCCGAATATTACAACACAGTATTCCTCAATCAAGTCGGCGGTGAATCCTTGAGAAGTTTGACTCCTCAACACAAACACAGACCCACTGGCTTGACTTTGTGTTTCTCCCACTTGTCTCGATCAACTAATTCCGTCGCCTGGAGCGCTGAGTCGTATGATTCTCGCGAATCTAGATGAGGGAAAAAATCGATTTAGAACGAAGAAGTCGCTGGAATCCGGCTCGAGATGGCTTTCGGATGGGGGGAAGCCTCTAACGGTGAATCATGACGCAGAATACGGGGGGAAGCAAGGGCGGCAAATCAAATGATATTGCCTTACCGAGTCGAGGCTGGTCCAATAAAGCTGGAGCAACGCGGTTGCCTCTTCCACGGGGCTCTTCGCCCTCTTGCGTGCGTGGATCCTGCATCAGGAACGAAGCGATCGCAACGAAATTGTTGAAATATGGAGAACTCGATTCTTTGGCTTTGCGGCTCAACGATGAAGTCAGAATGACGTCCTTTGTTTTGAGAATATCTTCACGCAATTGGAAGGCACTGGCATAGCTGTGAACGGAATGAGCGCAAAGTTTTGAAGGTATCGTCAATGTTTCTCTGAGAAATAGGTAGATTATTCGCGGATGATTTCCCGCAGGTCGAGCGCGAAGCCTCGATCACCGAAGCATGTGAGTTCTGTGATGACTTCGAAAATGTAATATACGACGCGAAAATTCAACACTCCTCATTTTATTCACAGCACACTGCGTGCTCGCTACTCGTGAACGCCGCCTTAACAGATCATTATTTACAAATAGAGTTCATCGAGCGCTTTTATCTATGTCTCTGGTGGCCCTGCGTTGAAACGGAATCGAGAACTACAGCTGACCGGCAGAAGGTAATCGTCATCCCCGCTTATTAGTCATCGGAACTCAAAGGAATTGGATATTTCTGGGTGTAGTCTTTCGGTGCGAGGCTATTGTACCACTCGATGTCGATAGGAGTCACATTCCGTATGTAGCAATTACTCGTTTTTACAACCTCGGTGAAAACCACGACATCGGGATTCTGTCGGAACAGACACGACGAGGGGTGGATTGTAACGTCGCGCTTCGACTCCAAGGTCCGATATTGATTCGCTTTCACCCGATAAGCGATGTTCCTGAATAGGCCTGTGACGAGAGCGCGTCGGATATTATCATTGGTGGATTTTGTCAGAGATAAGCTAAGCTGACCGCACACGTCTCGGAGTTGCGATCGGATTTTTTTGACATTGCACAACGTTTTTCTGTTGACTCCGTTAGCATCGCACCACTCCTTATTGCCGTCGGCTTGATTATACTTAGTGAAAATATTTAAATACATAATGAGATCTCCCTCGTTGGTGCCAAACTGTCTCACAGTGACGGGCGTCGAGTCGTCTGAGCCTCTGCGTGATGTGGCGATCGGAGACCCGTCACAACTCAACATGGCAATGATGGTCAACATCGGTTCGACGCATGATAGGGATTTGGCCCCGAAAATGCAACGACTGAAAGCAGGCTCGAGCGGAAACCGTCGCATCATAGACCCCAAACGCGTGAGCACGAGGGCGTCCGATTCATCGACTTTGGTCGCTTCCAATAAGGCGAGGGTCTGCAGAGCTTGTTTTACCGTTTCATCCGGCGGACTCTCGAGCCAGGCGAACGTCTTCACGTCTTGCTTCAAAGCTATCAAACTCATTATAACGCTCGACAGAGAACATCTCCGGATTTCGGCAACAGGAAACTGCTTGAGGGCATTGAATTCACCAGCCGTTATCAGTCGAAAGCATTCGCCGTCACTGACTCGTCCCGCGCGACCCGAACGTTGCCAGGCCTGGGCCTGAGAAATTTTCTCAACCCGGAGTATCTCGATGCCAGTTGTGGGATTGTAGTGTCGACATTTCATTCGGCACGTGTCGACCACAAAATTCACTCCAGGAATGGTAATTGAAGCTTCCGCGATGTTGGTTGCGAATATAATTTTCCGCGCGCCGTCGGGCAAGGGTGTCAGGACCTTTTCTTGAGCCGACTGAGGAAGGGCAGAGTACAACGGCATCGCTTTGAAATCAGCGCCGATAGAGCGGCCGAGCTCGTTGCAACTTTTGACCATCGACTCGATTTCCTCCTGACCCGTGCAGAAAACAAGTATATCTCCGGAGTCCTTCAGGCGAATAATTTTCAGCACGGTCACTAGCGCTGCGCTCACATAGTCCTCCTGGACTTCTGCCGTATAGTTCAATTGTACTTGGTACTGCCGGCCGCGGAGGAAGAAAATGTCTTCGCTCTGCAGTTTGAAGAACTTGACGTAGATCTCGGGGTTTACCGTGGCCGACATGATGATGAGCCTCAGGGGACGGCTCATTTGTTTTCGCTTCGCTTGGAGTTTCTTCAGCAGAGAGCAGAGAACGTCACTATTCACGGTTCGCTCGTGAGCTTCGTCGAGAATCACAGTGGAGTAGCGCATGAGATCAGGATCGTCTAAACTCTCCCTCAACAACATCCCGTCGGTCAGATACTTGATTTTGGTTTCGTTCGACGTCACGTCGTCGAATCGCACGGAGTAGCCCACCAGGCTACCGAGCTGACACTTCATGGACTTGGCGACGTACCGCGCCACACTGGTTGCCGCCACGCGGCGAGGCTGCGTGATCGCGATAGCACCTCCTTGCGAGTACTTGCCACAGAACCCGCCTTCGAAGAGTATCTTCGGTATCTCGGTGGTTTTCCCAGACGCCGTTTCCGATACGATTATCGATACGTCGCGGGAGCGTATGTGTCGCAGAATTTTCCATCGAGCCTCAACTACGGGCAGGACCGAGGGTTTTTGCCCGAAACCGTTCGAATGTCCGTTCTGACGGTGGGAGTCGTTGCTCCTATTGTGCCCATTGTTGACTCCGACGTCGCTCACTATGCCGTCGAGTTCAGCTTCTGATTCAGGTTGACAGAAGCTCCTTCGATCGTCGAGTTCCGGAGGTCTCATCTCCGCTGACAGTCTTAATCGATCGGGTAATTCGAGGAAAGAGCCAGCGTGCGATCACAGTATTCGAACACACATGGTTTCTTTCAAAACAAGAGAGAGTCCTAGAACATCGGATGATCTTGCTCGCTCAATCATCTCTCACCGGGAGGTCCTTAGGCCCGTTCAGACACGGGGGAATCGTCCCTGTTGAAGAGGTTATTGCGCAGCACCAGTACAAATATTTCCGCCGCTGCTCCGTATGTATAGTCTTTACGGTCTCCCATCCAGGGAAGAAGACGAAGGTCACTGCCACTGCGTGATCCGGTCCGTTTGCGCTTTGCCGTATTCCAGCTTGTTATAGGCCCAGGCCAACGTGAGAGGAATCCTCAAGACATCAAGGATGGAGTGTACGAAAACTGTGCGAGAAAACTGTGTCTGGCGACTTGTATAGGGGTGCCACGAGTTCGAAAGCGTCCGAGTGCAGCCTGGTGATCTTGTCACAGACAATTCCAGCAAGGAAACGGTCTACGGGGAACAGGCAGGCTCCGGCGGCTCCGGTTCGATCAGCCTATCTCCTCGTCGAGGATGAGGTTCTGATGAGAGGCTCTGAGCAGCCGGAGTCATCTGGCGACCCCGAATCTGACAAGGAGACATTGCTGAGTGGAAGAGCGCGGCAGGCACTGTAGAGAAGTGACGCGGCTCAAATCGGAAACCATTCTCGAAGATCGGAGTTGTTGGATAACCTTTGTTCGGTAGGAATGGTTCCGAGAGCAGGATGTTCTCGGGCGGGCGCTGCCGAACTGGAACACTGGGCAAAGGAAGACATTCTTCGAGAATGGCGGGGAAGACTGGATTAGGGATACGATAGAGCGAAGCACGGCAAGATCGTGACTGACTGAGTGAGCCCGGAACGACTCCGTGGTGGCGAGCGGCCGGTTATTGACCGAACCCGGAACGACTTGTTGGTTGCGAGCGACCTGGGCCTGAATAAGCCAAGAACGGCTCCGCACGTGAGGGAACACTGTGAGCTCGGGCAGAGGAGACTGGGTCGCCTGAGCCCACGAGGGATACATGAATTCCGAGACTAAGGATGGTTGGAGGCGTGACCGTACGCTCATAGTTCAGGAGCAAAGCACATTGGCACTAGGCACCGCTGCGACAGCGAATTCACGACCGAGATTCGAAGGACTAGCTCCGTGGGCTGGAATGGGACCCTCGAGCCGTGTCTAGGAAACGCTCCAGAAGCGATGCTTTCTCCAAAAGCAATGGCCGAAGGACCCAGTGTCTGGGCTTGAAGTGACGGATGTTGGAAGGAGAGGACCATAGTGGCAAGCGGGTCTAGAATATGAGGGGCCAGACACTCGACGTGACGGATCGAATAGCCGAGTTGTTGGGGCCGAGTTGGTGTTCCAGAACAAGTCAGAGTCTGGCGCAGAAGTATATTCTCAGTTCATCCCGATGAAGAGCGCTGACTAGCGCGGTGTTCAATGGTGAGAAACTTGGGAAGCCGTCTCCTATGTGGTTCTGGGCAAATTTCACGGGGGAGCGGAGCCGGAAAGTCAGGAAACGCGGGGCAAGGTATGGAGAGTATGAATGTTCCAGAAACAGAGCCTTCAGGAACGAGGACTGACCACGGTCGGCACGTATGGAAGAAGTCGATTTGCTTCTCGAAATTGCTATCTCAAAAATGCTACCGACTCGGAAACTCCGCAGCTTCTTACTGATGAGTTTAGCCATAGCCAGAGGAAGCTTTGTCTACGTTCGAGGAGCTCCGTTGTCGTGCGCGAGGGAGAGTTGTCAAGATGGCACCCTACTACTCCGGCGGACCTTCGTGGTTCTGCGCAAGAGGGAGTGTAGGTGGGAGTGGTGCGCACCACCACTACGAACCTTTACGCCGCCGCTTCAGCTCCTTATAGGCTACTGCGAGATCCAGACCGCTTCGCTACGTGGCCACGGTGGGTCACCTTTCGATAGACACTACGCGGGGCTTCCCATGAGTACCTGGTGGATCGCTCGCTCCTCACCTGAACATGATCGTCTTGTTTTGGATCGATTCTTTCCACGAATCGACGAGACACTTGGAGCAGACCCTCAGTACTTCTTCTTGAACAAACTCGCTGTGGTTCTCCACGGCCTTGATTGTTGGTGCGAGTAGGTATTGCAGCAGAGGAGATATATAATTAATCTCGTGGATTTTATCTGGAAGAGACATCGGTCAGTCTATCAGAACACTCTCCTTTCACAACAAGGAGCAATCGACCGGAGTCTCGGTCGACCGCGGTCCCTATCGGTCGACCCAGTCGAAGATCCTCATCATTGGATGAGTTTATGTGATGAATGAGTTCAAAACCTGAATAAGCTCACCGATTTTCCTTCGTTTGAAGTATCTGTTTGGTGGGAGATTCGCTGCGAAATATTCGGAGCACATCAGCTTGCAGTTATTCTCGAACTGACGCAGCTGTACTTGTTCCAAACTCTGCAAGAATCACCATCCCTATTAGTCAGGAATCCCGCGTTACCGATGGAGTCGACCCTCTGTTCCTGAGTTCTGAGCCTGCGGCCCGATTTGAGTGCCAGGGGGACGAATACACGATCAGGTAATTTAGTCATGAGCGAGCACTCACCATGAAGAAAGCCACTGATTGAGCATAAGCTTTTTCAGTGCTCTTCACGAAGGTCCAGTTTGCGAAATGCGATTGCGGGAGGCGCCGCGACAAGAAATTTTCTTTTCGCAACGATGTGACGGACGCGGAGCTCGCCGAGGTGAGCATGTTGCTTCTTACCAATAAATACCGCAAACGACTCAGATCCGAGTAAGCCATGATTAAATACTGGTACGGATCCCACGACGATGAAAACATCTGTCTATCCTCGAGCCACTGGATCGCCATGTTAAGCGTGTCTGCAGCGCATTGCCGAACTGGAAAAGTCCTCCCTGAGTATTCGATTGGAAACGATCCCAGAGTTGATCACGGGCGATGCGGAATGACTGACAGTAAATTATCATTATTCTCGGACACTCACTCATAACTTGATGAACCACATTATGTGATCTCGCGTCCTGTGGGCAGCCCACAATGAAGCCCAACAAGGGCTGCAATGCTCTATGGAAGTGTCTTCCCGTGTCTGTGCCGACTTGCCCACCTTCGACAGGTATGGGCTTACTGCGGCGGATCGCATACGAAATACAAGCGCGACTCATATCTGCGGCGAATGTTCAATGATGAAGTGAAATCGATATTGGGAGCATTGCTTTCGGAGTGACAGAGTCCCGGAGTTTTTCCTTACCGTTCCGCCATGAGCTCGTAGCCACAAGGAAATAGATTTCTTGATATATTTTTGAAACTGCATTCAGGGCGTCCTCGTCGAGATCTGGAATGGAGAACGACAACCTTGTAGTCCTCCTCTACGCAGGAACACTTGACACCTATCCCCTCACGTAGACTCGTTGTAAGATTCTCACCTTGTGCGTAGGGATCCTTGGTATAGTCGATCTTGGAGAGGAATAAGGTTTTGATGCGACTATCGACCCCTAATAGGCTGAAGAGAGTTCCGCCGAATGGTCCTCCATTCTGGACAGGAACCACGACGCTCTCAAGGGCTTTCATCGTGAATGAGCTCCAGTAGGCTTCCCAGAACACGGTGGCTATCGTCTGCGGGAGGAAATAATTACAATGTGATATAGAAAAAAAATAGGGAAGTGCTGCCTCCGAGCGAAGCGGACTTTGATATCCGGAGAGAACATTTTGTACTCTGACCAGCGGCACATGATGATTACCTGCATAATGCATGTATACACAGCGTGTTCCGCAGTGGGTTTGAACCATTTTTGACGTTTCCCGCTCTCTTTCGATGGTTCTGCCTCATGCACAGACATGGCAGTGGCGACGAAATTACTTCGTATCAGAAGACTCTGCGCGCTCTGCACTATCGAGTCCACTGTTGAGCATAGCGTTTCCATCTGTTTTCCTGCGGCAGAGAGAGGCAACTCGAATTATCTCACCTATTCGGCTCTGACAAAGACTCTCATGCATTCCCGATTTCCAGTTTATGATTGAGAGATGCCGTCTGGGTTGTGCGAGGAAGGAAGGATGAGATGGGTTGAAAGGTCAGCAATACTTTTTCCTGTTGGTGGCCTGTTGTTGACACCGGTTCCTGCTGAGTAGTCAGAGAAATAGTCCGAAGTTTCTCCAATCATGTCCCTGCGACTTTGCGCTTCCGAGCGGTCATGCGGGTCGGCAGTCAACCATTCGAAGTCGAGACTTTCGCGGCGCGTTATCTTACCGTCCCCTGGAAAGTATCACGAAGCGATATTCAGAGAGACTCCGAGAATAGGGAGGAAAAAATGCCAGGAAAGTGGAGTCCGAAAGGGGGAAATGTCCATCGAGTTTGAGCTCCGGACCATGCAAGCCACGAGTCGTACCACTAACTCACCACTCGTAGCTCCAGCAATTGCTTCCGTTCGCTTCTTGACCCCATCGCAAACCTTCGACATCGCTCTAAGAGCGGCCAAGTGACCCTGTTCTCTGCCCAGTCGTTCCATTACGTTCGGAACTTTGATCGGAGAGACCGAATGAGCGTGAACTCCGCTGAATTCGAGGATTTTATTGAAAATTTGGCACTGGGCGAACATAGCCTGCAGAATGTCTTGGTCGATGTCACTCGGATCGAGGCGAGACAAGAGACGCAGTTTTGCGTTCATAGCCGCGGACACGTAGGTAAAAGCTACTTCGGACGTTTGGTTCAATTGATGATGAGTTGCCAATAGAAGCGGGTCCACAGATGGTGGGATCATCGTGTGGAATGACTCCACCATCTGACGAATATAGCTGGAAGAAGAACATTTCCTTTCGATCAGAGTCCGGAATGTCCCATAAGGGATATTGGGAGCTCAATAGTGAGAACCCATATCCTTGCTTCTCTTGATGCTCCTCCAGAATTTATAGATATCCCCCTACCGTCTGAGCCAATGCGATGCTATGGACACCTCGTTGAGCAGCTCAAGCATTTTTGGCAGGCGCGCATTATCTTCCAATACCGTGTTTCTGTCGGAAAGTGTCTTATCTCGCTCGCCGTCAGCCATTACAAGTCGGCGTACTTCAGCGACGGGTACGTTGGCTGTGTCCATGAGCTTCTGCATCTCCGAACACTGTTCCTTGACCAGTGTTTTGATTTGATCTTGGAGACGGGTCGAGATATCCAATCTCGTAATCGCTTCCCGTTTGATGATGAGCACGCATCGCTCATGCATCAGATTCCGGAGGTTGTACTGTAGTCTGTTGAGGAGCTGAAGCTTCTTCTCGTTTAGCTGTGGCGAAAGGGAAACGATTAAGAGCTGGGGTCTAAGATTCCGCTCTGGGGGTCGGTGCGCTGAGAGGCAAAAACGCACCGAATCGGGTTCGGCTCCCCTTACATTGTTCAGGTATTCAGGAGGGATTGGTGTGGAATGCGATGAGCCCGAGAGGCTGTCCGGTTGACCCAAATCCACATCTTGGAAACGCCTCTGGAGCAGGATGTTCAACGTTTCCATCATTTCGGCGCTGCGCAACATGGTTTTCTTCTCTTTCTCTGTGGTGAAAAAGGACAAAGATTGTTTCGGGTCGGAATCCTCGTCAAGAGTCTTACCCCCCCTTTCCTCGATAAACACGCGATCTGGGACCCTCGATCCTTCGAATCCAGAGCGGTTGACTTCTTGGTGATCTCCGCAGGGATCTGAAAACGTTCCATTCACCTTCGTTCCGAGGAACTTCAAGGCGTCCAGCACCGCTGAACTTCTTCACTCCGTCCGCCAAATCGCGCCACTCGACCCGTTTCGAGGTTTCCCGCAGCACGCCGTTGAATTTCCTCTCTGTCCGTACGATTGGCTTCTTCTTCAGTTTCGCCAAATTTATCTCGGCTACCGAACACCGCCGTACCTCTCTCGGACACATGGACGAGCCTTTGGAAGTTTTCGGTCTAGTGGACATGCCGGTTCTCAGAACACGGATTCTGCCCGCGATCAGGCCGAAAACGCGATGTCGTGATGGGATATGACGGAGACGAGGCTGAGAGCTTTGCTCACACTGTGTTCTCAGATATTTCCGACCTCGTCGGTGGCTTTGAGATCGATCGAGCCCGCCAGCGGCCTATGGCCACTGGCCGTGGGGTCGCTCGGTGAACAATCCAAGGTCCCAACAGTCACAACAAAAGACACACTTGATTTCAGTCGTCAGAAGAACACCGGTGACTTCTGTTCCTCCGCCGTTTTGCGTCGCCATGATGGAGAGCTGCAATCGCAGAGCGATTCCGGACGACAACTTGAGGCGGGCGAGCGCATCCCTCCTCCTTGAGAGGACGCCGCCGTTCTTGGGATCAATACTCGGCGAGCGACGAACTCGACGGAATGCGAGGCCAAGGATCGATGGATACACAAAGAAAGTATCACCATTGACTGACAGGCTCGGAGAAAAATGCATCTCAGCTTCCGCAATCTCGCAGACTTGCGTCACCGCCTCTGATTTATCCCGCTCGTCATGAAAATTCTTCGATCTTTCGGTCTATCGACTGGATCCGCCTCGCTCGCGGGTTCGGGGAAGGACATTTCCGTTTGAGCGACCCATGCCAGACCTCAATACTTAGCCTTGAAATTATGGCCGCACGCCATGTCAGTCATCGATAGGGAAGTTATTCCTTTGTCAATTTGCTGCACCTGCTGCCTGGAGTGTTCTCGACAGCAGGCAAGGAACAAGGGGCGCGGACTTCCGCATTCTCGATTGGAGCTCTCGAGACAGTCTCAATCGATAGCAAACGCGAGATGCAACTCTCAGGGAGGCTCCTCCGCCACTCCTCGAGATTGCGACCAATTTTATAATGGACCGATTCTCCCCGAATACGGTTCTAGACTTTCCGTCCATATTCCGACCTGTCTGAAGGCTCATCGAACTTGGGTCGCCACGAGCGGTCCGATTTTTTGCGATGAGCTCATGACTCATGGGCCATGAGTAAACCTAGAGTACTCCGAGGCTATATGTCTGACGACCTTTTCGAACCCTAAGGGGAGCTGGTCTATCGAAAAATGGACATATGAAGGAGTGGCGAGGCGAAAAAGAGAATATCAACTTACCGTCACCTGCTCCAGAATAATGGCTGTCCACCAAGCGGATCGTCGATGGCGCGGGCGTGTCGACATTAAGCAAAACACTCTGTTCACCCTTGATTCCCATACCGCCGTGCCTGACGTGTCTTTTGGAAGAGAGACCCAGCTCCGGTGCGGTAGAGCTTTCACGGGAGATCGGGGTGACCATGCAATCCTCAGTTCCCATCGGTAGCGGGACTGATGCTTTACGCTGAATTCTGCTTGTATTGACAGTGTCCGCGGTATTGGGCGTCCTGCGAGAGAATTGATGATCTTCGGAAAGGGGGTAAGGCTCACTCGGAAGCTCCTCGTACTCCTGCGGAGCGAGTCCGCCAAGGAGATATGACCGGGACGCCCGATGTTCGGTTGGGGAAAATCATTCTCAACCTACTTGTTCTTGTTGGGGAGTCGAGACCCGGTCGATGTTTTGACCTGCACTCGCGACTTTTTCCGGGACTCATTTTTACGCAAGGGAATCGGATCGCTAAGCGCATCCCTCTCAGTTGGAGTCGACGACGCTGACGAACTCGATTCCCGACTGTGAGTCAATAGCAAATGCCGCTGGATATCTATCAACCTGCGAGAAAATAATTCATTTGACTCATCTGGTTCTCGCCTGTTTCCTCGAAAAAGCTCGAGGAAATAGTTCGGAGGTCGGATGATATCGGCGAGCTATCCACGGAATCCGCACTTTTCGTCGTGGAATGAATTCGCTCCGCCCATTCAAGAAATTCACCGCTCACCTTTTCCATTCTTGTTTCGCGAGCTGAGTTTTTTTCATCTGATGCACCGGTGGTAACTGGTTCGGATCATCCTCGAAACCCCACAACCCGTGGGACAGATGGAGATCTTGGCGAGGTATCGGCATCTGGGAATAATGAGCGACGCCCTGAAAGCAGTCTCTAAAATAGGCGGCTCAACTCATGTTGATTGATGCCTGAACCGGACGAATGAGAGCAACTCGTTTCGAATGGCGAATCCAACCTCCGGGCTCCCGGTAGAAGAATTCGAATTCCGTGGGCGCCGTATCCTGTGCTCAGTCCATGTTTAAAAAGTGGACGAGAACTGCGTACACTATAGTCGGAGCAATAATCAGCGACCCCAACCGCATACGACCCACATCCGGATATCACGTCCCCTTGCCACGATCGTTCTCTCCTCCCTCCTGTCCACGCGGCTTAGTTCCGGGTTCGCCCAAGGCGGTTGCCCACGTTCACTGCAATTGATTTTCCCGGCGCATGGCTTCGTACATATCTTCAGACCGGAACTTGATTGACGCTGAGTCGTGAAGAACTCGTACTCTGATATTCCTTCCCAACACAAAGTAACCGAAGAATCATTCCGGATAATTTTTCCCGACAGGATTGTTTGCCTGACCCTCGTCTCGTAAGATTCTCGGATGAGAGATTCTTTTCCAAATCACAATTTACCGACCTGAGTTCGTCTTCACTCGAAAAAGATTCTCATTATAGAATTGATCGGGAGAAGCTGGCGTAGGATGCGCCCCAGCTCAATATTCTTCCCGACGGAGGATATTCCAAAGGATTCCTCATAATCCCCCCCAGGCGATCCCGCGTCTTCCGGTGGGGTCGCGAGTGAAAAGTATTGTGGGCGGTTGCTCCCCAAAAAGCATCAACCCACAATACTTCCCTCCTGCCCTTCGAACGATTGTCTGACTGAATTCGAACGATTTTTGATCCCGATGGGAGAGCGCTCGGATCTCTACTTGACACCATTCGGTAACCCTCCGATCAAACTTCTTCCTTTCTCGCAGTTGAAACCGGAACGAGTTCAGATGATCTAACTGAGCTGATAACTCACCTTATTTCCCGCTTCCGGCTCACATCACTCGCAGAAAGCACCAGGCCGTCAACAGAAGGTCGGAGAAGTGAGAACTCTCCCCCGGCTCAAGGAACTTGGACCAAATGAGAGATGGGAACATCGGATTGGGCAAAGATGCTCCGGTTCGAGCGAATAGAATTTAGTTCGATATCAGACAGCTGAATCGCTCGACGGTCGTAATGATCTCAAGTTTCCATCGTCCCTAATGACTGGCCTGAAAACTTCATGAACCAGCAAGTCCCAGTCACTATGGTAACAGCAACCTCGTGTGCACTCGATAAGAGGGGGAGGGAGCTTGCTGGGAGGGGAGGGAGCGCCAGTCACCCAGCAGAGGGAGGCGACCAGGAAGTGGAGTTCGAACGGGCTCCATTCTGTATGAGCAGCCCGTATTCCGAATCTTTGCGATCTTTGAGACTGATCGACAATGGAGGCATATCGAGCCATATCATGCACTTCAAGCTCATTGACTTGTACCTCATGGGCAGCAGAGTTCCGCCCTTATGGCGAACGATCCAGATCATCGAAAAGATGCGGCCCTGTTACTCAAGCGGAAGGACTATGATCTAGAAAACGAAGAGATTACGCGGATGCCTCGGCAGACTCCAGAATCGTTGCTGACTGATCCTCGAGGATTCGAACTCGAAAGCTCCTGCGTGAGGTGCCCCCGAGATTCCTTCATCGCAGAATCCTTGGGGGGAAAAGGACAATTGAGCGTCTTGGCATATTATGAGAAGAAGAAAAACCAAATAGAATTTATATTGTATTTTACAGCTGGACGTTCCGACTCCATATATTGTTCTTCTTGGATGATTGACATATTAGTTATATTTACGCATGTACATAAGTTGTCCGTACCTATAGCATGTTCGCAGTCGCTAGGCACATGAGACGACACACAATATCTAATTCCTTAGGATACCTACTCAAGACGTGGGTTCTGTTTCGTTTCGACCGAATTTCGAAGACAATATAAGTACAACGCGTGTCTGAAAAGTCCACCCGTGATCGATGCGGGCAGATCAGCACTTACGCACACGCTCGCACTCACACGCACACTCAGCTTCTTGGCTCTGTCCTGGACGCTCTGATCATTATTTAGTCGTGAAAACCAACTAGCCATGTGTTGTATCGTCTTCGACAAAGTCGCGCGCTTCGTCCCTGCTGACGCATTCGATGTGGGACACCTTATTCCTAAATTTTACACCATAAAATTTATCAGCGTTCACGAGAAGTTCGGGTCTGAATGTCGTCGTGATGAACTGGGCACCGGAACACAATTCGTGGATCATCTCGGCAATCGCTCTCCTATGCTGCGCATCCAAGGCCTGGTCGATTTCATCGAACAGATAGAATGGAGCTGGATCACACTTCTGGATGGCAAATATCAACGTCAAAGCAACCAGGGATTTCTGTCCACCAGACAGCTGTTGCATCTCCTTCATCTCAGAGTTCTTGCCCACGAACGAAACCCTGATCCCAACACCGGTGAAGTTGTCGTTCGTATCGCCCTCTTTGTCGTCTTCTTCGTCCTTGTCCTTATCTTTGTCCATTCGCATCGTAAGATTGGCGTGCCCTTGCGGTACAAGTTTTTTGAAAACCTCAGTGAAATTCTTTGACACCTGCTTGAAGGTCGTTTGGATGGTTTCGTATTTCTTCAACTCGAGATGGCTCATCAGCTCCCGTATACTGACTCCCGCCCGATCGAGTTCTTCCTTCCGCTTCATCAGTTTATCCTTCTGCTCTGAGAAGCTCACGAATTGATCCAGGGCTTTTTTGTTGACATGCGAATACTTCTTCAGCTCGTTATTCGCTTGGTCGAGCTTCTTGAACAGTTGCTTCAGGGTAAGGTTCTGATATTTCTCGAAGGCATCCGAAGGCAGTGAGCCTGCGAGAAAGCAGATTATTTGAGTGAGAGATACCCTCCAATCGATTTTCTTTCGGCGGGACAATAATCAAGAGGGAGAGGAGGGGGAGAAGTGGAAACTCACCGAGGTCGCGAATCTTCTTCATGCACTCTTCTTTCTTCTTAAGTAGAACACTTTGTTTGCTGCTCATCTTCTCGAGATCTTTCGCGTCGTCATTTATTCGCTCTTGCCAATCCCTCTCTTGGCTCTTCCAATGCTCCAGCTGGCCCTGAGTTTCTTTCTGCTCTTTCAGACTCGTTTCTAGATGCTTCTCCAGAGCGTGCATCTGCTTGAGTACGTCTTCGATCCGAGAGTTAACCGTCGATAATTCGGCTTGGCAATTTTCGAGTTTCCTTCGACGGTCTTCGACCGAAATCTCTTGCAAGGCCTGCGGAGAGAATCGTTGCGAGATTGAGCGGGAAGAATAAGGTGAAATAACCAGTGCAAATTATGTTTCGATTTCACGCTACATGGGCGCAAAAAGCGATTCCCGGCATGGGTGACTCACCGCTTCGAGCTCCTCTTTTCGTCTGTAGAGGTTGTTGTTGAGGAGGTTTTCGAGCTTATTTTTCTCAGCCTCGAGTCTCATCCGCTCGGAGAAGGCTTCCTTATTCTGTTGAGTCAATCTCCGGATGTCGTCGTTCAGATTATCGACCTCCTGTTGATCGGCAGCACTCAACTGTGTCAGTAATTCCTGCTGCAACTCCGACCGAAGACTCTGCTCCGTCGACTCCATGGACTTAAGGGACGAATCCAGAGAGGCCAACGACCGCTCTTTCGGCTGTTTCGACCGCTCGAGGGCTGTGAGTTCCTCTTTCATCAGACGGATGTCGGCTTTGAGTTTGTCGAAAACGTCTTTATTCTTCGAGTTCTTCGTTTCGGTTCGCTGCATGTCGGCAACGACCTGATTGATTTCGCCCTCGATCTTCTGCAGTTTCTGCTTGTGCTCGACTAGTTGCGTTTCGACGTCTTTGATCTCCTTGGTCACGGTCGCATGACCTTTATGGAGATCGAGTCGAGAACGCCGTGTATCGAAATATCCGCCGGTGAGCGCTCCTTTGTGTGAGACCTGATCACCGTCGAGCGTGATACAATCTAGTTGGGATGTCCGGGCGATTTGGGTGGCGACTTCGAGATTTCGGCAAATGAGCGTCTTTCCATAAATGTATTTCATGGCACGCTCGAAACGGGGCTCGTATTTCAATTTGGAGATCATCGGAATGGCATCGTTGCTTTCGGGGTAGTCCTGCTCTCGGTAGACGAGCCGGTTCAGCGGCATGAACGTCACTTCTCCGGGCAGGCCCTGTTTGTTCATCTCTTGTAGGATCTTGGTTCCGATTCTGTCGTTCTCCACGATGTGGTAGAAGAGCTTATTGCCCGAAGTGACCTCGACGGCTGTGAAGATGGTCTTTTCGCAATCGAAATTCTCGATCAGCATACCGTAATACTGTTCGGCGATCTGTTTGAACTGTCCGCCGCGCTCCTTGAAAGCTTGCAGTACCTTCCGTACCGAGTCTCGGCCGTTTAGGGTCGCCTTGCCGGTCATCGATCTGGAAAAATCAATGCTTTAGTTTTTTTGCTGAAGTGATTTGGGAAATCAGAGCACCCTCATAGGTCGACTTGTCACAGAGCGCGCCATTGGAGGCATCGGCCCATCACCTGATCACTCTCCCACCCCAACTCACCTGAGACCTTGATCTTTCTTTTGGAGTTCTTCCTTGAGACCCGCTAGCTGCTGCTGCAATTGATTCTCGTGTCGCCACAACTCGTTGCGCTCCGTCTGTAGAGTGTCTTTTTTCTTCTTCATGTCATAATAGCTCTTGTTCTGACCGTCGATGTTGTCTCTGTGATTCTCGAGTTCTTTGGTGAGCTCTTCGATCTTCTTCTCGAGCATCACTTTTTTGGCAGCGTCTCGCTGGGCTTCGTCCTGCAGCCGATCGATTTGGTCCCTTTTGTCTCTGATAGCTTTCTGTAGCGACTTCAGTTCTTTCTGGATCCATTTGTCGCGCTCGGCTTTCGACGTGAATTGGGACCCTCGGCCTTGCTTTGCGTAGAGCTCGGTTCGCTTTTGCTCTTTGAGACTTAGCTCACGGGTGCAGTCCTCTTCCCGCTTCTTCATCGTCTCGTACTGCGGTCGAATCTCGTCGAGCTTCGTTTGTTTCTGCGCGATGGTCTCCTTCAGCTTGGCAAGTTCGCGCTCCGCGCGCTTCCGAGAACTGTCATCGCCCTCGACTTCGTCTTTCAGATCTTTGATGGTGAGCTCGAGCCTGGTTTTCTCCTTGAGGATACCCGCGTTCTCGGACGATAAGGTTTCCTTTTCCTCTCGGTTGGCAGACACCTTCTGCTTGATTTCGCGGAGTTCTTTGCTGAGCTTCTTGATTTTCTCCGCGGCGTTCTGGAGATTCTCCCGGAGCTTCTCCGTCACAGAACTGCTGGACTCGCGACGGGTTTCGAGTTCCTCCAGTTTCTTCTTCGTGTCTTTCAACTCATGATCGTAAATCGTGTATTCGAGCGATCGTCGCATCTTGTCCCACTTTTGATATTCTTTCAGTTCCTCCTTCTCTTCCTCGAGCGTGGCGAGTCTCTCTTCGATGTATTTTAGGAGATCTTCGATTTTCTCCTTCTTCGCATCGGTCTCTTTCATCATCTGCTTCGATTCCTCTTTACGTTCGTCGTAGACTCGCGTTCCGGCAACCTCCCGGAGAAGTTTCAATCGTTGTGAGTCGGGTGCGGTAGCCATTTGATTGATCTGGGGATTGAATCGTCAAATATTATAGGCGTGTAGGTAGGCGAATTGTATCTGTCGTCCACATCCGTCAATCATTCGTGGAGAAAAAATCCAAACATCGAGAAACCCGGGGAGAGTCCCAGTAAAACGGGATCTTCCGATGCTAACTCTCACCTTTCCCTGTTTCACAATATAGTAAGGGTTCGACCGGGAGAATCCAGCGCTCTCGAGCAAGTTCATGACATCGGTTCTGGTGACCATTTTTTTGTTCAGGAAGTACTGATCTTTTTTGGCTCCGATGACCCTCCGAATGGCAACTTCTTCGGAGTCGACCGGCAACCGGCCATCGGAATTGTCGAAAATAATCTCGACATAGGCCGACAATGCTCGAGGTCCTGAAATCAACCTCGGAAATGAGTCTCAGTCCTGACGGGAGACCCTCAAGGGCTCTACTAATTCTTGTCTGTCGGTTCACCCTGGGAACCCGTTTTCGCGAAAACACTAACCTGTTCCTTCATGGAGGAGAGCTTGGCGTTGCTCAGGTTTCATGTGGGCATATTCATCGCTCAACACGAACTGGATTGCATAGAAGAAGTTTGATTTCCCAGACCCGTTTCGTCCCACCACAACATTGTGGCGCGGACTGAATGGATCCGTGACGGTCTGCTCCTTATAGGAGCGGAATCCTTGGATGATAATCTGCGATGGAAAAGACGCTAGAGTCTCTGCACAACATTTCGGATACTGTCAGGCGCATAGACTCCTCTTCCGATATTTTCCCGATCATGCTGAAAGCGGGCGAATGGCTCTCGAGCTTCTCGTCGTTCGATTCCGACTCCGAGTTTCTTCGGCACATGGCTTTGCTAAACCCCGAAACTGCGCGCATTTTCCGCGCCGTCTCTGCGCCCGACCCACGATGAGGCTTCGCAAGCATCAAAGCTTGTTTTAATAGCTCAAAACCGGAGACAAAGGAAGCAGACAGGAGAAGAATCGCTCAACCGATCACCGGTAGCCCTAACATTGTACTGAAGCCGACTCGCAGAGGAGCTCCGAGGACAACCGGTAGCGGAAGGTACGCTCAAGCTATCGCTTGATATAAAGAAGATAAAACTAAGGAATTAATCTCATATGGAGCAAATATGGCGCAGTGAACTCAAAGCCCGCCCTAGCTGTCACTTGGATGTCCGGCGCTCTCGAAGTACCTGCGGAACGCTGGGAACACCGCGTCTCGATTCAACTTATTCCCCAATCGGCCTTACCTGCTTGATGTGCATGGTTCGGTCTCGTCAAAATCAGAGTTGGGCCGTCATCATAGACTCACAACCACACTCAGAGAGCGCACGGCGGCCTCCGTCTTCGTGTAGGCTCTTCTTTTCGTCGGTTGTCGTCCAACAACAACAACAAGCAAGATGGCGCTTCGGAGTCATCCTCGTTGATGTTTTGAGAGAAAATTGGCGGGTCCGACGATGATCCTTGCTGAGCGGCTCACTGGTGCTCCGGGCGCCCCAGGAGGGGGATCGCGAACCCGTGGAGCACCAAAGCATCGCTTTGCTGGACCCGGTGTCGTTAACTTCGAAACCAGCAGAGAATCAATCATTCTCTCGTATGCCTCCTCATCAGCCGTCGCCGGCGATGAGGGGGAGCGGAATACATAGATATTCAGATAGAAGCATTGCAAGCGTCGGACAGAGGAAGCACGTCAGTCGCCATAGCAGCTGAATTCAACCCTCCTTTCCTAGCCGAAAGAGAAAGAGAAACTTCTGTCGGGCGAACTGCTGCCACCTTACCGCTCGTCACAGCTCTCATGCCCTGAAAACGGAGGTTAGTTACCATTGACAGACAGGAGTACTTATGATCGCTCGTGTTCGTAGATACTAGTTTCTCAGGAATGGCAAAGCTTCCTGGCTCTGTGGCGAGATCCGAGGTTTTCTGAGCCTCGGCAACAGGTAGAGGGACCTTATCGGCGCGAGTCGACGTGACATGAAGGTGACGCCCGAAAGCTCTTGGGCGGAGGTTGCTGAAGCCGCAAGTAGGGCGATTTTCATTCTTTGCGAGCCGCTCCCTCAATCGATGCACGCTGGCGAGGGAAGATCCGGAACAATATCGATGAAACTATCTGATTGTCCAGCGATGATAAGCGTCGAACCGGAAGGCCCAATATACGGAACCATTGAGCTGGTCTTCAAGGGAAGGCCAGCTTTGATTGTGTCGAAGCCCTATTGATTGACTCATGGACCAGTCTTCGAGAAATGGAATGAGCATCTCGGGGTTTGAACCTTCTCTTCGTGCTCTAAAGGTCCGCGATCCGACGAATTCCGTGCGCAGGTGAACGTTTACAGAGCTATTGATTCCCGGGAATGAACTTTCTCCCGAGAGCGATGGCTCTTCCTCACTGATACCACTACATCACCGGGAGCTCGCTTGCGCAATTCGGAATTCTCCTAACCTTTAAATGAGAGGGATAGCGACGGGAAGTCGGGAGAGTATGACATCTGCTTTCTCTCGGCTCCGGATTCCTCAAGAAATCTCCCGCGAAGCTTAATCCCGCCATTATTGGCGTACCCGCGGCGAGGCGCGTGCAGACCGAAGGGAAACCGAGTTCACAGGGGATTCTTTGAAGAAGTTCATCGACTCTGAATATCGCCGCGGGCGCAGCTCTTACGGTCGAGGAGCTGAATCTCCTCCGGAAAATTGAATTACTCAGTATGTCTCAATTGTTCGGTAGACATGTGTGTTTGTTGGAAGCGCTGGAAACCTTCTACCGTTCCACTCGGCAGAACTGCAGAGCCGGGGATGAGTTCGTAGTCAGACCGCGCGGATTTCGGTTTTCTATTTCGAGGGAAAGTAGGGACCTGGATTGACGCCGCAGAATCCCAATTACGGCTTCTGAAAAACATATGTTCTCCCCTAGGTCCCTCCGTACCCCAGGCCACGGAAGCTAGATGGATCCCAATGTAAGTTCGACGACGCTAAGAGCTGAAGATCTTATCATGAGCCAATCAGCACCTGACAGCTCATTCCGGCGCGAAACCCGCTTCTCGGCGCCGGGCTCGATTCGTAGTATGTATCGGCAAGCCTTTTCGATTCGCCTCCTCGAAAATCATGCGCCTGAATGCCTTGCAGAAGGAGGTCACCGAGAATATCAGTCTCGCGGGCGATTCAGAAAAACCTGAAAAGGAACTCCCGGCCACGCCAGAAAAACCTGAGAAGGAACTTCCGACCACGACACTCGACTCGACGGAGGAACGCGATGGGGAAACCGTCAGACCTTCGGAAGCGGCTGATAATCATGGGGAGACCAAAGAAGCGGGAAGTGTGGAGCTCGCCGATGAGCCAACGGACAATGAGCAAAAACCATCCAACGAAGATGACGGAAATACTGATCCGGAAACAGTGGAGCAACCTCAATCGGAAGCCGCTGTGAGCTCTAAGCCCAAGAGACTCTCCCGCTTGGCTGATGTGAGTAATCTTCGAGAAAAGAAAGCTTCGAGTGCGGGAATCTGGTCGCAATATCGGCGCAAGCTCAAATCCACATCTGATTTCAAGAGTGACAAACCGCCGGAGGATCCAAAGTTCAGGTTTCTGTCCGATCCTGAAAGAGATGGCAAAGGGCTCGAAGCAGCGGATAACGCAAAGGAGCCGCAAGGAGACGGCAAATCCAAGGAAGCTGATCAGAAGAACAGGAAAAAAGGTCAGTCTACGACCTAGTGACTAGTTAAGAATGGGGAGGGTGGCATCCTCATTCCTCTACTTTTTGACTACTCTGATACCACTAATGTCCCTGTTCGGCACGCAGTGTCCCGAATCCCGTCTGCTCGAAGAGGGAATAGGGCTGGTGGTCAATGTGAGAACTGTGGGGGCGGTCAGAATGTGAGGAAGTTTCACGAAGACCCCGTTGGCGAACACAAAGGAGATAGAAACTTTCAACGGAATACTCGAGAGAGGAATAGTTATCCAGGTCCGCGCCGACACGACTCGAGGTACATTTTTCAAATGACTTCTACAAAGCTTTGTAGGCTCGGGATAACCTGCTGCAGTTTCGGGTCGACGGATTTCCTACGCACGACTCGAACTTTCAGAGCCGATGATCATCAGAAATGGGGCCATGCGATGTATTACGAGCTGTACGGAGAGGAACAACCGAGGCCGCAGCGACCAAGAAGACGGGGTCGGGGTGATTACCGTGGGGCAGGGAACCCGCGAGATTTCAACAACGGCAGGGATGAGCGTCGACAGGATGAAAACGACGGCAACTTTCAGCATCACGGCGGTAGGAAGCAGGACCCTAACGGACGAGCTGACAGGCTCGGCGGACCGAGACGGCACGAAAACCATGAGGTCAACCATACCGAGAGAGATGACGAGCCCGCGAAAAATCGGCAGAGCTTCAATGGTACTAACAGCAACGGAGGTGAGCTGATGGAATTTCCCCCTCTGATGGAACTGTCTGTCGTAAAGAGTATCGTCGATCGGTATCTTTGAAATTTTGCCAGCGATAGACCGATTGATGGGAAGGGTCTGTACGCCGCACACAAATCCTTATTGACCGCCTTAACTTCGTCAAGCGATGGCGTATCGCGCGAGAGGTGGGTGGTCTGAATCCGGCAGCCGGCAACTCTGGAATAGTCGTTTGCCCGCGGAACCCATGGTCCCCATCCTCTTCGGGGCTTTGCCAGAGTGTGTTTCCTGGGCCTTGGCCGAGACAACTCCGATACCTGACCCCTTCGCGATAGACTCAATACGGTTCCGCGTCAAATATTCAACCAGAGTACAAAATTGCAGATCGTGGCGGCAGAAGGGGTCGCGGCAGTTTCCGCGGACGAGGATCCTTCAGGCGGCGGAATAATGAAAACCCGCCGACAGCACCGAAGAAGGAAGGCGAGCCCATACCGGCGGCTGCAAGTGCTTGATATTATGCGCCAATAGACTCCAGCTACGCTGATCACTGAAGAGACCTCTTCTCCATCGATATTCCATGGAACTGACGCAAACCCGAACCCTCTCCCCCGCAACTATCGTAAAACTACGAACGCAATCACCCTCTGCGGATCCTGTTCCGCCTAACAGGGAGCTTCCTCAGGAGCGTTCCCCGAAGCGATGCCCCCATCACTTTCTACTTGAATGAGAGAATCGTATATTTTTTCCAAAGCATCCGTTCATCGATCGGATGGAGGAAATACGCACTACTCTATGTGTTCGCGGTCGAGCAAGGACAATTCTTCATGACGGATCACGACTCGTCGATTGAATGCTTCACGCTTGAAATGGCACAAAACTCCGAACTTTGCATTCTCGCGGACAATTATGTAATCCAAAAAAAACAGTGTCTTCATAGGACCAAAGTCATCGTGGATATTGTGATGATGTAAGTAGCATATACACAGACTAGCATTTCGGCTTATTCCGATTGAGATATGAATCGAAGAATCGGAATCGTGTGCTATCGTGTCTGTGAGCAGACGGGAGGTAGATCATATCCTGAATTTTCTTCGAAAAGGTAGCACCGCAGCGAACTGGAGGAACTCGAGTTATTCCCTGTTGAGACATTGTAGGGAACCGACGAACTCGATTGATGCACGACTTCGCGAGCGTGTAGAACTCTGATCGCAAGCGATACTAGAAAGTGTGTAAGGAACTAGGTAGATTATATCCGGTATTTTCTCCGAGTGGTAGCACGGCAGCGAATTGGACAGGCTCGAGGTACCCCCGTGGGGACATGTTGGGGACCTGTCGAACTCGATTGAAGCACAACTTCGTGAGCGCGTAGAACTCGAATCGCGAGCGATACTAGGAAGGGCTCACCGAATATATCTTTACCGCCCTCAGGAAGCTCTCGAACTACGACTACTCAAGGCACATGCAACGAACTCAGTAGAGACTCGGTATAGCTTTATACTTTCTAAACACCGAACGCACAGAATAAACGCAACGCACAGATGTCAAGCCTCACACCGAAGATTCCTTTTCTTCCTCATCTCGAGCCGATGTCACGCCGGCATTTCCTGTTGCGAGTCGCTGGAGTTCCCTGTCACTAGGGGAAGGAACGCAAGATGAGCCTTTCCGCGGGCGTCATGGACGGCAAGGCGACGCCGACGGCCCGGAAGCTCGGAAGATCAACCGATGATTCATCGTACGAAGTGGGGGGGAATCCCCCTCGACATCGATGCCTTATGTTTGGCCGGGAGCTTGATGCAAATTTCGAGTCCTCAGTCATCACCCGAGTTTCGACCTCACCCCAAAACGTTGGAGGTGCATCCGCAGGAGCGCTCGCGAAGAGAGTGCATCCGATCAGAATCTTGTTCAGGCTAATCGCATGCAGACCCATAGGGCCTAAATTCGGTCGACAGTGTATCGTGCGTATACTTTTTGCTCGGAATGTGGCGGCCAGCTGCTTCGAGGGAGGTTCCGCATGGAAACGCACCGCACCCTTCATTTTCTTTTCCGATATCTGCTTGGATGCTGCGCTCAACTCAATCGGTTGCGGAAATCGCTAGTCATTCGGATGACACCCAGCGAAATTCCACATCCTGACGAGCTTGGGAGCGTAAAATATTATCCGCCGCACGAAGACTGAGACAATGGTGCGGGATAGATACTCGTCCCGGTCTGGGAAGATTATGGCTATCTAATGAAGAGAATGCCAATCTTTTGCAATATTGCTCATCTAATCGACGAGGGTGGACGGAGCTCAGGTTGGAGGTCATCTCCCAGCGGAAAGATAGGGAGGGCTGGGCCCAATGAGCCCGCAACGGGCCTTATGCTCAATCCATGGTCTTGTGAGGGGTACCTTCCACGGCGCGGCGTTCCAGCGTATCACCGCAACTTTTCCTCTATCCCGATGGCCCTGCGTCGTCGGTTCCCACATGCGACTAGCCTCTCCACACCCGTCGATCCGAAATTGCAGAATTTATTGGGATTTATATTTATATTATTTCTTCCGTCACTGCAAAAGATCAAGTTGACCCCTCCCAAGCTTCTTACCACGTTATTACCAGGTTATTACCACGATCGTTCGGGTCCCCGCAGATCGTATCGACCGAGCGCGGTGACGATTCTAACTGTGATGCATCATACAATTAGAAAGCCTGGAGAGCGTGGGCCGCTGGGCGTCATGGAACCAATGGAGTAATGAGCGGACATCCTGGAAACCTCGACGTCGAGGTGTACCTGTGGAGCACCTTCAAGTCGCCCCCCGCGTCGCATGGCTTGGAGAAACGAGCGGTGATATACTTTCTCGGCAATCCTGCGAGCATGATGAGGGTATGATCGCACACCGACGAGGAGCGTGCCAAAGGAAGTACTTTGAGGGATCAATGAGGTGGCCCACCCCTTTGGAGATCACCATGCTCTTCATGATCTTCGGGAGGATACTTTCCTGGTAAGACGCTGAACATGAGTTCTCCTCCCCAAGGCGTCCCATCGGGCAGGAGGGCGGAACGAGTGGAGCATTCTGTGTTTCTCGCAATTGCGAGTGCATCCGCAATGAGAACGGTACCGACTATGCTCAAGTTGGAAGAGCAACAGATTTTTCAGAGTCTAGACGCTCTGTCCGCCGAGGATGGAGAAAAGCCTAAAGCAGTGTGGAGGAAAGATTTTGATTTTGTTTGTGACTCTCCTTTTTGCATGGGCAGCCATCTGTTTGTAGAACGTCTATTTCAAAAGCGTAAAAAACTTGGGGGCGAAGAAAGAAAACTCGAAACAATCGGAGTCGTTTCCGTCGTCGAAGAAAAACGTCTGAATAGACTTGGCATAAAAAACAGTTGAAGACGAGATTTGAAGTCACAAGTCCGCTACAACGCTACCGACTCCGTTTAGCGGTCCGTTTCGAAATGAACTGATGAGCTGACTGACCATGTCTCCGAGCGTCAGCCGGGGGATGCGACCGAGCAGCTTAGCGATGCAGAAAAACAATCCGGCGTCGAGTCGACTCTTTGCCCGAAGCTCACTCAGTCCCCGATCGTCCTACGGTCATGAGCTAAGAGCAGAGCCAGCGTCAGGAGATACTAACTGGACGGACATGAAATGAGGTTTGCGCTTGTTCTGCTGTGTGTGAATCTCGTATCGTGCAGGAGCATCCAGGACGATCAGTCGAAGGAAAATGACGATCGAAGTCGAGAGGTATCAGACAACCGCAAACACTACAACGAGGATCGACGTGACGATGGGAACTCCCGTAGTGATGACCGACGTGACGATATGCCAGATGACCGACGGGGTCGACGACGCTCTGGTGAGGACAACGGACGTTCGGCCGAAGTTCCGCCGATGTCACCATTAGCGGACGAAATTGATAAAATCAATCAGGCAGAAGAAGAGAGCATGGGTGAGTGGAAATCTATCCCTCTGGGGAATCGTCGAGTTTAGACCTCACGCAGTGTCTTGATAAAGATGATGTGTGAGTCAATCGACTCTACCTGAGAAGAAGATCTTCCTCGATCAGCGACGGACTTGATCGATCTTAATTTGGCGACAGGAGTCGTCGGCTCAGACCGATCTCGAGTCAAGACGAACACCGCTTCGCTTGTGAGGTCGGCAGCTGGTTGAGTTCTTGTTCGGAGAACTACCAGGCTGGTCAAACTTCGAGGAAAGGGAAGCCGAAATGTAAATCCCTAAATTTCAACGCGTGCGAGATATGCCTGATGACAGATGAGCGAAAGGAATGCTGAGCATGATCGGCATGAATAATGCCAAAATCAAAGCCACTGAAGGGATGGAAACGTTCCCGTTAGAATACGACTGCGACAATAGATTCGTCAAAGGCACGGAATCAGGCGAAGCCTATTCGAAAACATTCAGAAAGAGTGTAGAGGAAATAATCCGAGATATTGTCCGTAGAAAATGGATAGGAGGAATGGAGGGGAATGCCAGTTCCGCAAGGAATCAGAGGCATAAACAAAGATGAAGTTGAGCATGAATCAATCGATGAAAGTAAGGGATAATTCGCTCCCTCGTCGCATCTTTCATGAGGCAGATGGGACGGCCGTCGCTATACGTTGACCTTTGTTTGCAACTATGAGCGTGATACGCAGTTCTCTCGCGGAGGCTTCATGCCTAGGCGTCCGGGGAAACAACAACGGCTCTCATCCCGAATTGTTGAGCTCTATCCAGGCTGGGGAGCTCGTTCCGGCGGTCGAGTCCCGATCATCACACGTTCCTGCAGTACCTGCCGTGTAGTCGCTCGGAATTCAAACGACCCGAAATCTACCGGAAGGAGCATTCGCACTAAGGACAGGTTCCCAAGTAGGGTTCGGGCCGGAATCCGCTGTTTCGGCCGGAAGCCGAAACCGAATGTTCTCGCATGCGCCTTACTGAAGCCCCCATGGAGCAATTACAAGGCTCTTCGGGGACTTCCTGCCGCGAACGCCCCCGCTGCTCCAACCTGCTGCCCTCAACAAAAGTGTTGTGTCTAGGCATGTGAAATGTTCGTTTCGAGTACAAACTCGACGCGACCTGACGGTTGAATGCGGTGCTCCGGAATCGTCGGAGCTCGTTTACTGAAGCGTTCCAGCAGAGCGGAATCATGAATCGGAGATCACCCCTAGGTTTCCGGGTCGTGCGCAAGCCAGCTATTTCAAGTATATTTCCCTCTCGGCTGAGATGAGCGCCCCTGGGGGAACTTCAGAAAGGCGATAGTAAAATTCGATGTTTTTCTTCTCTTCCTTCCCTCCACAGAACGAGAAGATAGCAGGGAACGTCAGCTGTTAGATAATGTGGCACATCCACTGGAATATGGTGCCGACGAATCCTCCCAATCGAGAGAATCGGCCTCCGGGAATCGTCGTGCATCGAATGAAGACCCTGCGCGGAACGATTACGATCACGAGGACAGCGCCCATCCATACGAGAATCCCGACAACCGGAATCGAGTTCCGCCTCGTGCCGATGCGGGATACGATTCGCGAGACGATCCTAATCCGAGAGACGCAAGTGCATCGCGAGAAGATAGTCGGGAAAACAGCGACGCGGTGCGGGAGAATAAGCACGCTCCGGGGGTGGATCCACGCGTTCCGGAGAGATACAAATCAACGCTGGACCGGGATGAGGGAGATCCTCCTCGCAGAGAACAGAATTCGAGGAACAGCAACCTCGGACACAATTCGAAGGAGATGAGGAGCGATCATCGTAACAAGGATTACGCTGCGAGGGCGCGAGATCTTGAGGGAAAAACATCCCCGCCCGCGAACGAGAACATCAATTGGCAGAGAACTCCTCGCGGACGCGATACGCTATCGCGACCTCAAGCAGCTGAAGAACGATATCCAAGGAGAGAAAATTCCGATCGAACCTCAGCACAGCGTCCGTGGCACGTGGAGGATCGGAGGCGGGATCGTTCATCGGAAGACCGCGACGGACGGAATTCACCAATCGGGGACGAGCCCGACAGACGAGGATATCCGACGCGGCCACCTCGTCAATTCGTCTCTACGGTGACCAACAAACGTAATCCTCGAGCCATAATTCCAGTTTACGAGTCATTTCTGCCGCATCAGAAAAGCTCATTGCTGAGCTTGGGTCAGACACGTCAAGTGGCTCCTGGAAAGCCTCGACACGAGCATCGAAGTCACGGAGCTTGGCGCCCGGCCTCACGTGCCCGAGACTCTGAGGCATCGAGGGATTCCAACCGGGCACCCTCGGTTGAAGAAGACGAAGAAACGGGCGAAAGGGACGATTCCCGTGAAGCGGATCCACCTCCTCCGACTCCGCCTCCTCCAAGGCGACCACCAAATACGGAGAAGTTCCGACCGGAGCCCGAAAGATGGAAATCGACAACGCGACGACCTCCGCCCAGCAAATCTCCCAGAACGACGGGAGCTTCGCTTCAGGCGCCGCGGCCGCCAACCTCGAAGCCCACGCGACCTCAGCCGAAATCATGGGTCCACGGGACGACCTCTGCATCGAGTACGACGTCACGGCCAGCGGTTCGTCCTTGGAGGTGGCAGGTGAGTGTTTTGGTTGGAGTGATGGTCTCCTTCAGCGCGACGCTCTTGCTCATAGTGCTGCATTGGATTCGTTCGGAATCAGTCACAAAAACGTGGATAACCACGCTTGCTTTGCGTCGTAGGGGAACGTGAACATTGGTGACGACGATTTCTTCCGAATTCCTGAGAAATTCGGAGAGTTCGGCGCCAGACTTGGTGCGGGGCCCGCGTCTAGAAAAACATCATCCACGTCATCATCATCATCATCGACAAAGAGCTCAGCAGCCAGAAACCCGGCTCCGGGGAAAACGAATACGAAGACGACCGACGGTTCACCGCTGGGCAAGCTGCCTTCGGACGCTGCAGCCGAAGCCTCGCGCTTCCACGATTCCTTTCGTGCTCATGATGGTTTTGAGCACGCTATGCATTCTTCTCATGGGCACGAGCCTCTATCTAATCCTGGCCAGGCGTCACGATCAGCGGAGGATGCGAAGGAGACGCGCCAAAAGCGGGAGCCAGCATCAGCCTTAGCAGGTAGGTCAGCGTTCTCGACCTTCCGAGTCGGGTACTCTACGAAAATCAGAGTTGTCAATGAAAGGCCGTTCGATTGCTCAGCCTGACTCGATCGGCCACTGAGCGAGGAATAAATCCAGTTCGAGACTCGGGTTTGAATCCGGGAATCCCACCCTGGAATATAAACAGGCAATGAACGACGAAAATCCACGCTTCCGATTTCCTTAGATGACGAGCCGGTGAACTCGATCGATATCACGAGTGAATCGTTTTGGAGGAACTGGAAGCCCCCGCCAGACATCGGGAACGACGCCGCGCAGGTCACAACTCCATTAGCGCAGGAGCCGATCGCCTGGAAAACTTACCAAACGCCGAAACGGGTGACCACCAAAGAGGTAGCCGATGGTCAACAGAAGACGACTCTGCAAGGGAGCGCCTCAGTCGGTGAGTTGTCATCGGATTCGGATGAGATTCTCCCCGGAACGACACCAGCGACGTCTGCAATCTCACAGGAAATGAGTTTTCAGGCTGGTTCAAGCTGCAGAGCGACAAAACGGCAGATCTGGGATTCTTCAGATCGGGTGCGGAGTCAACAAAATCGAGTCTGCGAACGACCACGGTGCCCTCATTTGTAGAATGGCGTCATCCCAGCAAGAAACCCGATAAGCAAATCAGTGACGGAGTCAAAGACGTAAACAAGAGCCACTCGGAAAACAAGGCCACAATTCTGGCCTTGGTGCTCAAGCCCGAGGCGCATTTGATGAAGAAAGTTCTTGAAATGAACAAAAATACTAGTACGCCATCGAGCTCAAAGAAGAACGAGTCGTTGTTGCGATCCGGATCACATAAAACCACTGGAAGCCCCGCTCAAAGGGAACCGATCGCCAAAAACATTCCCGTGCTGAAATCGACGCCGATTCTTCAAAAGAGAAGCGGCGATCTCCTCCCGGCTGCGAGTCAACGCCACGAACAGGGAGCGAGCGAACCGCAAGGGGAGAAAAAACACGAAGAATTCGACAAGAATTACGATAAGGTGAGCTCTCAAAGTGTCATCCTCCGTATATAACATGATACGAACGCAAATGGCCCTCACGTCTTCCTCGTTCGCATACCGAAGGGGAAATGCGACGTTTCCTCAACCACGTCGATATGAGATATCACTCCAACTCATGACATTCTAATAGTCGTCGAGTGCTTATGAAAGCCCTCTCTTATCCTGGCCCCGGTCGACGCTGCGACCATGGCCAATATCAAATCTTCGCAACGGAGTCGCCGCGTCGTTACGAGCACTTGGTCGCCAGAGAGTAACCCATCCGCTTCTGTCACGCACAGACAAAACAAAGCATCCTGCACGACTTCCGCGATATGAACAAGGAAAACCACTACATGCCAAGCGAATACGTTATCAGTGTCAAGTACAAAAACTCGACGAATAAAGAAGCCGAAAAACGTCTGAAAAGTCGCGGTTTCACCGAAACGCACCACAGACTCGTCGAGAGGTTCGAAATCATCCACCAGCATGAGAACAGCGAGGAGCAAGTCGGGACCGAAGAGCCCACCGACCCTGATCAGGCCGCTGTTGAGGTAGGTGTCTGCCGCCGAGCGATTTTCCCGATGTGGGAGCCAGCTCAAGTATTAGGAAGCACCGTCTGCGCTCATGTCTATCAGTCCGGATGTCTGTCACGGTGTCAACAACAGGAGCGTCGGAAATTGATGTCAGCCTGATTTAATATAGGTTTTTCTGAGAAGTTGCTCTCTGAGAGCGGCACGTCGCTCGACGAGCAATATACATACACTGCACGCAGTCGTAAACAAGTCCTTACCGTGCATCTGTTCACCACACACGGCAGAAGGAGGCTTTCCTCAACGTAGTAGAATCCAATAAAAGCGATCCATGGGGACTGTGGTCTGACGCAGCAGCAGCAGCAGCAAACAACACTCGCTTCGAAAGTTCGGTTGTTTTCAAGGGTTTCTTCATCACTTGCAGGAATCCAAGGACAGTCGCGTTAAGGCCATGAGCGAAGACAACATCCGCCACATGAGGAACGGGGCTGATATCAGCGTCAATCAGGTTGAGAGGCCGCCGATCGAAGTTCGGACCTTACTGCATGGATACGGGGGCGCCAAACCCTACGAAACCGTCTATAGGGGCAACCACCCTGAAAGCGTTCACAAAATACCGAGCGAAGGTTTCCCCATCAACGACCGCTTCCAAAAGTGGGTTAGCCGGGATATCAAAGTTTGAATGACTTATGAAATCGACCACCATAACACACAGTAGGAAAGTTTCGAATCGGGGCAGGATCTCGTTCGACATTAGCTTCTTATCTAGAACGGAGTAAAGTATCTCAACGAGTGGCCCTGCTCATCTGACATTCGTCGATCGATAGATTTTAGATTACGCCAAATTGGTCCGACTCCAATCATCGTGAATGATCGCAATGAGAGACTATTCACTTGAATACAATCGAATGTATTGCGAGAGCTTCTTTTCTTTTACGAGCAATACATCGCCCCATGGTCACCGCGAATGCGCGGGGAAGTCATCACCCCGAACGTTGATACGTCATACCGAGGAAAAGGCGTAAACACCCGCAGCTTTCAGTCGACTGAAACAAACTTCCACAGCTGAAAGCCGCCGGAACCCCCGATGCGTAATAGGATAACGCCAAACAAATAACACTCCGCTCGACATCTGACGGAGACTTGACGCCACACCCACCGATGCCAGCGGCTTGCAGCTCCTTCAGGAGACCCATGAACGAGCCGTCTGTCGCCAACCCGCGCGAAAGTTTCCTTGACTGAGCTCAATTTCCCGTGCAGTTACGTCGACACTCGTTCGTGGCAGCACTTCAAGCCCGAACGCCTCGGAAGCATTTCACTCTGGAACTAGGACGTCCTGCTCGCACGAGTAGAAAATTCCTACCGATATCGTGGCGAGCAAGTTCTATATCGTCGAGCGCGCTTCCAACTTGGAAATCCATCAGATTTCGGAAATCTCCGTCGGGAAGATTTCCGGTGCTGCCAGGCTGTGAGTTCAAGGGACTGATGTTCGGATTTGAGACGGTGATCAAGGTCGACTCGCTCGCGCTGGGATGTCTGATACGGAGCGATCTAGTCGGTTGCAAGCAGATACCAAGCATTCTGGCAGGGATAATCCCTCTAAGGGAAACCCATGAGCCGAGAGCCTTGGTGTGGAACTTTGCAAGAGCAGTTACCAAAGCTCATCGAGTCTTTCGATGCCTTTCTTGCGACGGACCTCCGGTGTGAGTACCTCGCCGAATAATCTTACACTCTGACTCAGAGTTTGTAGTTCGCGCAGACTCACCGATAGCTCCCCGATGCTCCTCTCGGGCGTGACGGACTCTCCGACCGCGCAGACTTGAACGAGCTCTCCGTCTCGATCCCAATCTCGACATGAAGGGAGCGGTTCTCGTATTCAGCTGAGCACCGGAATAGTCATTCGACGAGCGCTCAGGAGATATTTGCAGAATATCTGCTTGAAAAAATCGGCGCTCCTATCCGATCCACCCCTTCGTTTCTGTGAGCCCGATATGCTCTCCACGGGTTCAGAGTGAAAAAGCCCCGCGGTCTGTACGTCCATGGCTGCTTCCTTTCCGCACCGATATCGTCGACGACTCCATGCAGACCATCTTTAACCTTCCGCGGAAGAGATTGCTCTTCCTAGTCACGCAGTGGGGGATATTGCTAGATACGGCTCTCTGCTTTACGCTTGATGTCACGCTCTGAATCATTCCGGAATCGTTTCTCTTCTCCCGCTTCGTCTTGTGTAGGATTGAGCTATGCCCTTGGACTTCTGTCAGGTTTTCGAGGGAGCGGTGACCGCCTCAGGTGATTCACGTGTCTATTTTTTGCTCGCTGATTGTGGCGCTTCCCTGTGTTCAATCTCGAGGGTTTCGCCACAACACGCAGAACGGAGCGAATCATCGAACGCGTACCAGTTCGAGCTATCGGATCGGACATAGTGATTGCACAGATCGTCGGAAAAATCTCTCCCCAGATCGCCTCTCTCGGTTTCGAACCTCATCGCAACTCCCGCTCACTGAGTGCCGAGCTCAGACCGAGCCGTCATGAGGAGAAAGATGATCCAACGCCTAGTTCCTAGTTGGTTATTGTTGGAAGCTCAGTTTCAAATTACTCTCTCTTACTGACGCTCAGCGGTGGAAAGACCAGAATAGGATTCTTACCCCCATGCGCCCTCTATATCCGTGGGCGTGAGAGCTCACAAATGGGTTTTTGGTTGTTTTTCCTCGGGGATTTCGTGCTTGTCCTAGCGTTCATCCCGTAGGGATATTCCGGTCGATCGAGGCTTGCGGACAGCGATCACCTGAATCACGTCGACTCGGGGTTGCTCTTAGCTCTCACTCAGGCATTTTTCCTGCTCCAACGGAATATGTGCGGCATTCTGGCATCACCCACCAATCGTCCCTATCGCTTTTTAGAAGTTGGCTCGGCAGGGAGCAAGTTTTCAGTCATCCTGGCTCGGCACCTAGGTAACCGACCACAGAGCATCGATGCTATTGAAGGAGGCTCGACTGGAAACGGCAAGTTCGCTCCGACAATCATGAACGACTCCCAGCTACCACCGCACAGACGTAGGCGTCGCCGTCATCTCGCTCTCCACGACAGAGCAAATAGGCAAAATTGCGGCTGTACGGTTGCTCCGACGCGACGTCCGGGAGCGATGCGTGTGAAACGTCCAAAAGCTGTCATCACTCCCGCTATAAGTTTCAGCTCGTCACGACGCGACGGTCGACGATTCTCCGAAGTCACGCACTGTCATTACACGTGCCTGTGGCTCCCCTACTCCTCTCGAGAGGATAAATATCAGAACTTCAAACTCCACAAGAATAGCCGCACCATGAGGCGCGATCCAGTTCTGTCTCGCGACGCACTGTAGACTGTAGGGAGTGCATGAACGCCGCGCGGATGCCGCGTATAGACGGCCTCGATCTTCTGCGAGGGCCACACGACGTAAACGTACCCATTCATAGGCTCCAGAGGGGCCGAGTTCTCGCGCCTCCAAGAACTTCCCACTTTAGGGATTACTCGCTCAGGGTCCTTATTCGGCAGGCCCCGAGAACCGTTGTTCCTTACGATTCTCATCCACACCGGTGTGGGTGAAATACCTTTCTGAAATACCATCCATATGGTACCTACAAAAATAGATTCCGATTCGTCCGAACGCAAGGCCGTGGTGTTCGAATCTGCGCCGCGTGCACTCAACGACATGCTGTCGGGGCGAGTTCGGAGCGATACGAGTTCAGATTCGACTTTCATACTGCCGAAAAAGATTGGTTCCCTGCTGGAGAGGAGTCCTCTCTTGGGGGCTTTGGCGCGCCTTGGAGTATAGGTTCCCGATGCGGGATCGATGCTCCGACGTGATTTGAACTTCAGACCTACGATGAGAATAATCAGCTCTCAGAAGATCCGACTCTCGGCCTGAGAAGCGAAGCGTTGTCAGTAACTGTCAGATCCGGACCGGAATCGATCGCGTTTCTTCGACACAGAATGTTTCATCTCGCTGAAAAAGCTCGCAGCGGGAAGAGGTGTCAGGTGATCCTGGAATCTCAACGCTGCGGACCGTGATCTCTTAATCCTTCCGGGAAGGACCGGAGCACAGCCTATGAGAACGTGGCCCAGATTACATCAGGAGCCGTCCGAGGAACCTTCATGATAGTTTCGCAATCAGGTATTCTGTTCCCTTTCTCTCCAGTGCTTCTTCTCGCCTCGCGGTCACATGTTTCCGGAGATGAAAAGGTCTCGAAACGACCTCTCAACCCGAGCGTCGGAAATGGGTAATGACGACGCCCGCTCTCGCTCGTTTTCCCGTGAAGCTTCGCCTCCGAGGGGTCCAGACTCAAAAGTCAGGATCGTAGAAGACACAATTCTAATGCGCCAGAATTCTCATAGGCCAGAATCGCAAAAGTCGGGGTTGTCTGTCGCTCGATCGGTCTCTCTCCATGCGCAACGGAGCTCCTGAATTTCTTGTATTGATCAGTGCAAAGGAGCCTGTGGTTCTGATATCGGAATGAGAAACAAGCGCGCTCGGAGTGTCGCCCCAGTGACGTTCTGGGGCTCCGGAGAAACAGAACATTGCGCTAAGAGCAAACGCTGCAGGTTGCAGCTGCTGAGCGAGGCTGTGTGTTTAGAGAGCTGTCCAATAATGTGAATAATAATATCAGCATGGGCTGAATGATGTGTTCCGGAAATCGTAAGGCAGAATGGAAGGAGATTGGTTAATCAGGACTTATCTATCACCGCAAATTCAGTCCTAAATGTTAGTAGTCTTCCCAGACTTCTTGTCTCAGCAGAGGTCAGTCGCGATTGCGGTTTCAAATCCCAACTTCGAAACTCCGAAAACTAATTTCCGTAGTTATTTTCTGTCAGACGGATACCGTTCCTGAAATGGGAGAGACATCTCCGTGGACGGAATTCGTTGAACGTTTACGGTGGTTGCAGTGAAGGAACGACGTCTCCGAGCGAGACTCTGAGACCACTAACTCATTTAGATCTTTTAATTCCGCGATCACTCTAGCCCGAAGCCATCGAAGCGATGCACTCGCGGGCTCTTCCAATAATTGGGTCTTCTGAATGGACCCCGGGAGCACTCGGATCGGATGGACAGAGTCTCCGATCTCGTAAAGCTCTTTGGTCATCATCGGTGATATGAGCGTGGGGTCGAAACGAGGGCGCGGCGTCGTGAATAAAGACAGGAATGGGGAATCTTCGGCGGATCCGAAGACTCCGCTCTAGTTGAGATACAGGTATCATCTTGAAGAACATTTCAGACCAGGACAACGCTCGAGTATTCATAGCTATCCGGAAAACTCAGTCAATTAGCTGAATAGATTGGCGAGCTTTATTACACTGGGCATAGACTCCAGACGAAGATTACAAACAGCGGTTTATGATAAGGAGTGTAGAGCTTGAATACATAGCTCTGACATGGAAAAAATACTGTTTGATGCGGGAAATATGGGCCGGCTTCAGGAAAGATACTCGACCCCCCCCTCATAGAACAACTCGTTCGGTCCAAAAACCCTGAACCCCAGAAGAGTCCGGGCGGTTACGATGGCTTTCTTCCTGTGGCCCCAATACGCTCGGATGGAGTCCGCATCCGTCTCTGCAAGCCATCCGGAACTAACTCCCGATCTGATCCTGATATGGATGTGTGACTTTTTCAAGGAATCCCCCGTGCTGGGGATCGATGATTGATATTTCCGAAAGGGGTTTAACGATGGCTTCAACATGAAGAGGTGCTTGGGTATGTGTATTTCGCGCTCGCTCGGGAATTTCGCACTTGGGAAGGTCGCGAGGAGCTCCGTTCCGAGGGAACGTTTCCAGAAGCTAGCTGCGGTAATATCGCAGCAAGCTCAAAATCCGCGCTGAAGATTAACGCCTCGGAAAGAGCAGAAAACCTGGAAAGCGTTAAGAGTCTAGTCAGTCGAGGCTCGACTTCAATCAAGAGGAAGCTTGAAAAGTTCGGAAACTTACTGATAGGTGATCCACGATTCATAGCTCTTGCAGATTGTCGCAGGATTTACTCTTGACATGGTCTCCTCGTCCGAAGATTTTGTCGAAAAATAATCTGTGGGAGACGAAAGGCTTTGAGTCCAATAATTGGCTCCACAGAGATTAATAATTATACTGATCATACTGGAGAGTATACTAAGGGGAATACATCCGCAGGCCACTATCGGCACCCTCGCTATACGATCCCACGAGTCAGCGAGCCTAGTTAACCACGCCTCGAGCGTTTCTCGTTGGAGGTCACATGCGCACGTCGCAGCTCGATCCGAAAATTCGCATGATCTCGAGCGATGCCGCTCGAATACATAAATTCGAATGGGGCCGCCATCATGGAAGTTTCGCGGAATGGAGTGTTCCGCAAAACGCTGGGACCGTATCCTCATGTGCTAAGGAATTCCACCTCTGCAGATGTGTGCCATACTCTCGTGACGCGAGAAAAGCCGAGATGAATCTCAATGGCAAGGTCAAGAGCTTTCGAGCGAAGGGCCACATGAGCGACGTTCGAGGGGGTAATCGAGGCTAATGCAGTCTTCTCCGGCTTTCTCGGCGACTTTGCCGGGTAATCTCAAGCCTGGGCATGCAAACCAGACAAGAAACGCTCGCGTGAGATTCGTCTCTTTGCTTCTGTCGCTATGTAGGCCCATGCTCCTTCGGAACAGGCGTCGGAACATTCTTGCCGTACTGCACGGAATATTGTTCTCAAAAGACATAGTATAAGGATCTTGGTCGGATCGATCGGAATGTACAGCGAGACGTGAACATAGAAAAGAAATAGGGAATTATTCAGCTATCTGGGGGCTGTGCGAATAGCCCCCATCTTTAGATTTTGCAGTCGATGAGAGGGCTGACCTTGTTCGGTTCCCGAGGAAGAGTGAAGTCTTCGAATGCCGCCTCTCCTGAGTGGGTTTGTTCTTCTTATCGCCCTTCTGTTGCTCAGCCTTCAGTCTGATCTGCGTGACGAGTCCGACGAGGAGTTCATCCACATTGTGCTTAAGACCGGCGGATATCTCAGCGTACTTGCACTCGTAATGAGAAGCCACGTCCCTGCCACCTGGAATTCAGAAGGGTCGTGCCAGATCAGGAACGGAGCGGAAGAACACTTTTTGCTGATCAAGAGCCGAATTTAGGTACTGGGATACGGATCATGTGGCAGACCACGACTGAAATCTCGAAGATCAGAGATCATGTCAGAACTCGAGTCGAGCGATCAGGATTCCCGTGCTAGTCGCGCGTGAATCTGGGACGATATCGCTCGATCAAGAAGATTCCTTCGGGACGATTCTCCGATATCGGTAAAGAATCCCCAAGCTGATCCTTTCGTGCCTGATCGTAATCAGTTAATGATCGAGATCGCGTGTCGACATGGATGCAAAGGGCAGAAAGAGCACCCGTACTGTACCCGCGAAGAATATCCAGCAGAATGACTCTGGCAAGAGCACAAAGACGGGAAAGATAAATGTTCGACACGGCAGAGGATATCGCCTTACTCGTTTTGATCACCTACAATCACTCTGGGTCCCTATCCTATTTCCTAGAGACCCCGACATCTACCCCAAGGGGGGGGGGCGGCGGAGGACAGATCGAAAACGTTCTGCAGCCTCCCTATTCGTGTTTATTGTCCGCCTCCACAGCCCACCGGAACCTTTTCCCGCCTGCTGAGAGCAGGTACGAGCGTCTTCCACGGCATTGGAGTCCGTCCTCAGACTGCTGAGGACTTACTACCGTCGTCATAAGTCCCAGGTAAGGAAAACAAGGAGTTTCGTTATTCATTATCCGTTAAGGAATCATGAGCTCGTGTGACTTCAGTATGATGATGGGAGACCCTGGGGGACACTGGAGGAATACGACAACGAGATGTGGTCCAGAGCTCTGCTCTAGCTCCGAGAAGGAAATTCATTTTTAAAGTTTTTTGGACAGCGCAAGCAAAGTTCTCGACCATCTGATGGTCTACTGTCTGGTGTCTATCCCCTGAGTAGCGGTAATGGCTGACCTCCTTCGCTCTGCAAGCGTCTCTGACCTCCTTCTGTATGGGTATAACCGCGACGGACGCATCGACCGTGCTCGATGCGTCTGCGGATCGCTGCGTCTCCATTATATCCCGCTTGTCGTCGCTAGCTTGGTAATTTTCCTCTCTTCCCTCCCCCCTGCTCCGACGGCGATGATTGTTTCTCATCTGGAATCCGTTTATACAACAATTTCTCATGAATAGACTGCCTGCCGAACCTACACGAGGACTCCGTGGCATCGAGCCAACCCCGGGTCCCGCGGATTCCTCGGAGTTGACGTTCCGCTCATATATCATGCTTCTACTCCGGATACCACAAGCAGAACCGTATTTTTGCGGAAATGTAAGATGCCGTTTCGGTTTCGTTCTCTCTAGATTCCCGAGGATCGCATTACACGTGTGTTCGACTACAGATTCTCTATCGGAAGTTGTACGTCTCGAGCATTCGGAACGGCGAGAGCTTTTCCGTGTTGCTTCCTTCGGGGAAGTCGGTGGGCATATCGATCCTTCCCCGAGAGAATACCGGGAGCAGCGGGAACGATAAAAACGGAAATTCCTCAGGAACATCAAAATCTGACTCAAAACCCAAGTGCAACGATTACGGGCTCGTCTGGCTTCCGTCCATCAGGTGACTTTGTCCATGCGTACCCAGACACCACCGCAGGAAATGTATAGCTAACGACGAAGGTTGTCATCGGCAGACGCCAAGCAACCTGACCACCAGCTGTTATCACATCTGTTCCCCCCTTAATCATCTGATCGTCCGACTGGAACGAAACCTCTGGCGGAGCGGATCGTTAATGGATAGCTGTCGCAAGCGAGGAGGATGATAAACGACGACATTAATTCGCAGGTATATGTCGGTTCTATTATACATTCGCCCTGCAGAGAAGGCCTGACACAGGAGTTGACTCTTCGAACCAGAGGATTGACTCGGTGATGAGATCTGAGAGGCAAGACTCGACTGACAGACACCAGACCAGGATTGATCGGCTCGGCGAGAAGGAGAGAAGACATATGCATAGCTGACTGTGGAGTGAGCCCGGAACTGCTCTCAGAACATTCGGAAGGGCCTCGATCGACGGTGATTCAGTTTCCACGAGCGCATCCCATGACTCGGTGCCGCTCTTCAGCAGGCAATGGCTGTTGAAAGGCATTCGCATGCGACGCACGGAATGTCCATGGCTCCGAAATCGCTCCGCTAATTGAAAGTGAGCGGTGCGAGAGCGAATGGTGTAGGTGCGAGAGCGGATGCGCAGGCCGCAAACCACTGCGACCGAGTGGACAATGGAGGATGCAAGTGTCTGGAGGGTTATTGAGATCCATTTGAGCCTTCCAGGCGATCCAGGTGCGGGAATCGGTCGGTTGTTCCTGAGACTCGCAAATCAACGGTGCAGCCAATCATTGAAAACCATCCTGGACTCAGACCGGATACACAGAGGAATGTGTCCCCCCCACAATGAACGATATTTGTCTTGTCAACAGATATCGATGAGCCTAGTCTAGGATTGTAGAGACTCTCTCAACATGTGCGAATAACACTTCAGCATGATTGGATTATTATC